CTGCAACCTCCACCCTCCCAGGCTCAAGTGATTCTCCTGCCTCAGCCTCCAGAGTAGCTGGGTGCCATCATGCCTAGGTAATTTTTTATTTTTGTAGAGATGGGGTTTTGCCATGTTGGCCAGGCTGGTCTTGAACTCCTGACCTCAGGTGATCCACCCACCTCGACCTTCCAAAGTGCTGGGATTACAGGCATGAGCCACCACGCCTGGCCAGTAGCTTACATGTTGACAGTGCTGCTGAATCATTGAATTCTTTGGCCATGAAAATACCAGGTTTTCCTTTGTGAAGGAGGCATAAGTGAGTTAAATCAGTTTGGATCACGCAGGTTATCAACTAACAGATGGAAAGACCATAGAGAACGCGTCACCTGTTGTTTTTGTTTTTTTGTGGGTTTTTGGAGACAGGGTCTCCTGCTGTCGCCCAGGCTGGAGTGCAGTGGCGCAATCATGGCTCACTGCAGCCTTGACCTCCCACGCTCTAAGTGATCCTCCCACCTCAGCCTCCCGGCTGTAGAGCTAGGACTAGAGGTGTGGGCCACCACGCCTGGCTAATTTTTATATTTTTTGGTAGAGACAGGGTTTTGCTGTGTTGCCCAGGCTGGTCTTGAACTACTGGGCTCAGGCAATCCTCCCTCCTTGGCCTCCCAAAGTGCTGGGATTACGGGCGTGAGCCACCGCTCCTGGCCCCACAGAGTGTTTTGAGGCTAGAAGCTTACACCCGATTTAAGTTCCTTGTCTGTGCAGACGACTAAATTTGCAACTCTTTCCAGTTTTTCCTGTCGTTGTACTTTCCTTAGCCTCAGGGAGCTACTGAAAACAAAATCTGGTTTTATAAGAAGTTTCTTTTCATGTTCCTGGAAACTAAATCCTCCACGTTCTTTCTTTGCCTAGATGTAGAGTATTTCAGTAGTACCCCACTTGTCCGGAGGTCGGATTTCCGGCACCCCCAGCCCTCCAGAACATGGCTGCGAACCCCGAAGCAAGCAGAGGCGGCTTCTGAGCCCGGGGCGGGGCTGTGCTCAGGCTCCATCCCAGGCCCAGGGTGCGCATTGAGGGTGCAGGGAGGGGAGGGGAGGGGCCCTGGGAGGGGTGAGGCTCAGCTTTTCCCACTAGGTCCCCGAGGAGGTCACAGACGCTGACCTGGGAGGCAGTGTCACAGTATTGCCTAGTCAGTTTAGGAAATAAAAAGGTATATCCCATTTAAAATGTTCATTAGACTGCAGTGGAAAAGGCGACTGTGTTTTATGATGATTTCCACTGGGGATGATAGGAGGAAAAGCTTTGTTACATACATATTGTCGTAGGCTTCGGTCACGAGGCAGGTTCACTTCCACGGGACGCTCCTTCCCCGCACTGGGGGAGGAATGAGATGTTACTCTCCTAACGCAGGGTCGGCAGCCTTTTTCGGTAAAGGACCAAATAAGAAGCATTTCAGACGTCCCGGGCTGTATGTAGATGTATGTGTTACAACTACTCAGCTGTCATTTTGACAGGAAAGCAGACAACACATGAACGTGTGGCGATGGCGATGCTCCCGTGAAACTTTGTTTAGAAAAAGAGGGCTGGGCCGGGCGCAGGCACTCAAGCCTGTAATCCCTGCACTTTGGGAGGCCAGGGCGGGCGGATCACAAGGTCAGGAGATCAAGACCATCCTGGCCAACATGGTGAAACCCTGTCTCTACTAAGAATACAAAACTTACCCGGGCATGGTGGGAGGCACCTGTAATCCCAGCTACTCAGGAGGCTGAGGCAGGAGAATCGCTTGAACCCAGGAGGTGGAGATTGCAGTGAGCCGAGATTGCGTCACTGCACTCCAGCCTGGGTGACAGTGAGACTCCATCTCAAAAAGATTGTAAAAAAGAATCTAGTTGTATTGTTTGGTTATATCCATCCAGGGTATTACCGTCTTTGTGACATGTTTATACAGGTCTGAGAAAGAACCCCAGTTTAACCGTCTTTGTGACATGTTTGTACAGGTCTGAGAAAGAACCCCAGTTTAAGTTTATTTACTTCAACCACATGAATCTGGCCGAGAAGAGCACAGTTCACATGAGGAAAACGCCCAGTGTGTCACTCACTTCCGTGCACCCGGATTTAATGAAGATTCTCGGTGACATCAACAGTGATTTCACCAGGTGATTCCAGCCACTTCTCCAATCAGGTGTCCCCTTTCTAAGAAAAAAGACACGGAAAGTCCCTTCAAAGCCAAATGACCCAGAGCCCTTTCCATGGGGTTCAAGCTTGAACCACCTTCATGGGCACCACTTCCAGACACACACTTGGGAGCCCCTAAGTCACCGGTTCCCTCGCCCAGGACTCCCTGAGCCTTTTAAATGCCACGTGCGTCCGTTCCATTTCCTGTTCTCGTTTTGGAATGCTTGCTTTCCCCGTCTAGCCATGTGAATAACAAACGGCACGTTCTGAAACTCTTCTCTTGCAGAGTGGATGAGGATGAGGAGATCATCGTGAAGGCCATGAGTGATTACTGGGTTGTTGGAAAGAAGTCTGATCGGCGGGAGCTCTATGTTATTTTGAATCAAAAAAATGCAAACCTGATTGAAGTAAACGGTAAGTAGGATTTGGTATTTCAGGAGAATTTTAATGCTGCTGATATGGAAAAGTTGTTTTTTCACTGTATTAAACCTGGTTAAAAAATAGAAACATGAGAAATAGAACAAATGTCTGCTGAGATTGTAAGCAGGTGCCTCTCAACATTTTCAACATTTGGTCCCTTTTCTCTTTCTTGGAAAACTGACGGGACTTTCCTGTAGCACAGGAAACTTGACAGTGGCCCAAAGAAAATTATTTTCTACAATCTAAAAAATAATAATAATAACTTTACTGTGCATTAAGAAATGTCCCCTTTTTGGAGACAGGGTCTCACTTTGTCACACAGGCTGGAGTGCAGTGGTGCAATCATAGTTCACCACAGCCTCCAACTCCTAGGCTCAAGCAGTCCTCCCACCTCAGCCTCTCGAGTAGCTGAGCCCACAGGCATGTGTCACCATACCCGCTAATTTATTTTATTTATTTATTTTTTTTGAGATGGAGTCTTGGTCTGTTGCCCAGGCTGGGCTCAAACTCCAAGCCTCAAGCAATCCTCCGGCCTCCCAAAGAGCTGGGATTACAGGCGGGAGCCACCTTGCCCAGCCCCAAATGTCCTTTTTTAATATCCTGTGATATAAACGTATCTTTTGTAGGGAGAAGCTGCCAGGTTCATGGGGCCGTTTACAACGATCCCTCTGAACACCGGCAGCATGATAAGGCATTTTCTCCTGCCCTCCCACCAAAGTGGCCAGCCGTGCCCACCGCACGGGGTGACCCAGCAGCTGATCTGCTGACAGCTTGGCTGCCCTGGAGAGAGGGGACCTCGCCTCGGCAGAGCTGCCCCCTTGGGCGATGCCCCACATGTATACTGTGTGGAAATTCAGTGTAAGCGTCTTTTTTCCCCTTGTATCTTCTCGGGCATACTACATTTTTCTATTATTAACACTTGCATTAGTAATTGTGTGCATTAGAAACATCAGTTAATACAAGCCTGATCCAAACTGAATTCAATAAGACCAAAATCCCGACACGTCTGCGGGGCGCTGGGTCTGCAGCTCAGGGGCGCTGTCAGTTTCTCTGTTGTTCCATCAGTTCTCCCAGGATGACGACAGCGCCAGCCTCGTGCTTCTAACCCCCTCCCCGGGTGTCCTGGGCACTTTGCCTGCAGTTCCTCAGGCTGGGCAGCAGTGTTATATGCTCAGAACTACTGAGGCCTGGTAGCTTTCTTAGGTGGTTTTCTCCCCTCTTGTTAACATTTCTTGGCTGGGCACAGTGGTTCATGCCTGCAGTCCAGCACTTTGGGAGGCCAAGGTGGGTGGATCACCTGAGGTTAGAAGTTCAAGACCAGCCTGGCAAAACCCTGTCTCTACCCAAAAATACAAAAATTAGCCGGGCGTGGTGGTGTGCACCTGTCGTCCCAGCTACCTGGGAGGTGGAGGCTGCAATGAGCCAAGATCACACCAGATCACACCACTACACTCCAGCCTGGGTGACAGAGCAAAACTCTGTCTCAAAAAAAAAAAAAAATTCTTGCCTAGTCTTCTGGGATTTAAGGTCAAAATCAATGCAAATATCTATTGCTAATTTTACCCAAGAAGAATTTAATTATATGTCACATAACCTTTTAAGTAAGCGCCTCTTCCCTCCTCACTGTTGTCTGTCGGTTTTGCAGAAGAGGTCAAGAAACTCTGTGCAACGCAGTTCAACAACATCTTCTTCTTGGATTGACTGACGGCTCACCGAAAGCGTATTTAAAAGACACTCGGCAAACATTTGGGCATATGCAAGTTACTGGTCATATGACGGACTGCATTCAGGACAAGGGAAAAGCAATACTTGCTTTGAAGAATCACATTTCTACTCAGTCTCCTGATCTCCTGAGGTTTTTAGATTTTAAATATTTATGTGGAATTAATTAAAGGTAGTTGAGTATATCTCTATCATTCCATTCTTTTGACATTATGTGAATATTTTACTAGAAAATAAGATTAATAAATTGTTAAAGTTTTTAAAATTCTGGTTTTATGTTGAGTCTCCTGCTGCCTATTTGTAGATTACACCAGCCACCAGGTCCTTGACCCAGGCTGGAATGCAGTGGCTCACGGCACCCTCAATCTGCAATCCTCCCGCCTCAGCGTCCCAAGAAGCTAGAACCACAGGTACACACCACCACGCTCGGCTAATTTTTTAATGTTGCAGAGACAGGGTCTCACTATGTTGCCCAGGGTCTCACTATGTTGCCCAGGCTGGTCTCAAACTCCCATAATCCAGCCGTGTAGGAAACCTGAGATGCAGCGGGCCAGGCGGTATTTTAAAACACTGCAACGAGTACAGTGCTAAGAACTGTAATGCTCAGGAAATCTTACAGCACGTGCCGTCCTAAGCCTCTGTGTGTGTCCTCGTGGCTCGCTACTTTTTCTTCTTCTTGCTGGTGATGGTCTTGCTGGATGGGGACACGGTCACGTCCTCCTTGGGAGGGTCCAGTATGAGATAAGAGGATGACACGTCCACCGGCTCCTTGATCACCATGATGTCCACCTCATAGTCTTGTCTCTTGGCTTCTTCCTCTCTCAAGATAAACATATTCAGCCTGAAAGCAAACATGAGAAGGTGGGAGCTTTTTTCAATCCCCCTAAAAACCGCAAAAACAGTTTGATGCTATTTGTAGTATACAGCCCTTCAGACCTGCATTTCAGCAGCGTGTTAAACAGAACTAAGCTGCTACGCTTTGCCTGAAATAACTGATGCCATGTCGACACAGTCCAAAGTAAACTTTTTTTTTTTTTTTTTTGAGACAGAGTCTTGCTCTGTCGCCCAGGCTGGGGTGCAGTGGCCGGATCTCAGCTCACTGCAAGCTCCGCCTCCCGGGTTTAGACCATTCTCCTGCCTCAGCCTCCCGAGTAGCTGGGACTACAGGCGCCCGCCACCTCGCCCGGCTAGTTTTTTGTATTTTTTAGTAGAGACGGGGTTTCACCGTGTTAGCCAGGATGGTCTCGAACTCCTGACCTCGTGATCCGCCCGTCTCGGCCTCCCAAAGTGCTGGGATTACAGGCATGAGCCACTGCACCTGGCCACCTCTTTTTTTGTCTAAATATCTTAAGAATGTGGGTTTTCTGATATTTTAATTTTCCATGTTTTCAAGAATAATAAATCCTTGTTTCTTGTTTCTTGCTTTTTTTTTTTTTTTTTTTTTGGAGACAAGGTCTCACTCTATTGCCCAGGCTGGAGTACAGTGGCATGACCATGGCTCACCGAAGCCTGGAGGAACTCCTGGGCTCAAGTGATCCTCCCATCTTAGCCTCCCTGACAGCTGAGAATAGAGCAATGCGCCACACACAAGGCTAATTTTTTTAGTTGTGAGACAAGATCTCGCTCTGTCATCCAGGCTGTAGTGCAGGGGCACCATCATGGCTCACTGCAGCCTCCATCTCCTGGGCTCAGATGATCCTCCCACTTCAGCCTCCCAAGTAGCTGGGACCACAGGCGGGTGCCACCACGCCCAGCTAATCATTGTTTTTGTTGTAGAGACAAGGTTTCGCTTTGTTGCCCGTGGCCTCAAATTCCTGAGCTCTAGTGATCCTCCCATCTGGGCCTCCCAAAGTGCTGGGATTACAGGCATGAGTCACCGCACTGGGCCTAGGTCTTGGGGACAAACTATTTGACATCTTGTATTTATTCAGAGTTTGAAACCCCTTTAAGACAAGGATAGCTGTGTACCTGAGTGAATCCTCTCTCTTGGAGAACTAGACAACCGGTCACTCAGGCAAAAGGAAGCTCCTAGTAGTTACAGTTACCCCTCTCTAGATCTTTCTTGTCTAGGCTAAAGAATCTCTAAATCTTAAATTACCATAATGTTTTCCATCTTTTTAAGCAATTCCGGTTATCCAGTCACTTGGAAGATTTTAAAATTCAGAAAATCAAATTATATGCAATCCAGGACTCTAAGGTCGGAACAAGACTGAGTGTGAAGGAAGATTCCTTTTTTTCGCTTGGAGACAGGGTCTCGGTCTGGCACCCAGGCTGGAGTGCAGTGGTGCAATCATGGCTCACTGCAGCCTCAAGCTCCTGAGTCAATCCTGCCTCAGGCTCCCAAGCTGCTGGGACTACAGGAGTGTGCCACCGTACCTGGTGAATTTTGCTTTTTTTTTGTAGAGACAGGGGCTTGCTATGTTGCCCAGGCTGGTCTCAGACTCCTGGGCACAAGTGATCCTCCTGCCGTGGCCTCCCAGAGTTCTGGGCTTACAGCTGTGAGCCACTGTACCTGGCGGCAACATTGTCTTATGTTCATTCATGAACTCTCAACTAGACACCTACAAGCTGGAGGACAGTAGGTCACGGCTGCCACATGCAACAATCAGATGAAATGGTACTGGAAGAGATGCCACGTGGGTCAAGGGGGTCCTTGACAGGAGACAGGGCAGGAGCCACAGGCCTGGTGAATGGCACACCAGACTTAAGGAATGACCAGAGAGATCCAGGGCAAAATCCAGTTGGAGCTGGAACTAGAGATAATCAGATCAACAGGAAAGCACATTAGCTGGGGTTCCACTTCCAGTTCTAGTTCTGTTCCAGGAACTGTGCATCTTGTTACGGCACTGCAGGAACGCCCTGTCTCTGCTGGGATGCCGAGCTCTGCAGGAGAAAATGACACAACCCAGACTCGCACCAGACGGAGAAGAAACCAAGGACATCGAGGGGTCGCAGAGGCCGAACGCGAAGAGTGTTTCAAGAAGCTGACGGTTTTCCTGACTATGGAGAGATCGGTTCAAGTGACGGCAGGATTCCTGGGGGTGGCAACATGGAGGCACTGCTGATGAAGAGGGGCCTTCAGTGGCCTGGGGAAGGCAGTGCCACATGGAGCAAGCTAAGAAGACACAGGAGAGGTCCTGGAGAAGGTGTTGCATGTATACAGCTCCCTAAGATGCATCAGCAAAGGGAGCAGGGAAGGAAAGTGGGATCTAGAGGGGAAGGTGAGGGAAGAGATTTTCCTTTTCTTTTTTTTTTTTTTTTTTTTTTTGAGACGGAGTCTCACTCTGTCGCCCAGGCTGGAGTGCACTGGCGTGGTCTCGGCTCACTCTGTTGCCCAGGCTGGAGGGCAGCGGCATGGTCTCAGCTCACTGCAACCTCTGCCTCCGGGGTTCAAGCAGTTCTCCCACCTCAGCCCTGAGTACCTGGGACTACAGGCGAGCGCCACCACACCCGGCTAGTTTTTTTATTTTTAGTAGAGATGGGGTTTCACTATGTTGGCCGTGCTGGTCTCGAACTCCTGACCTCGGGATCCACCCGCCTCGGCCTCCCAAAGTGCTGGGATTACAGGCCTGAGCCACGGTGCCCGGCCAAGAGAAGAGATTTTCCTAACTGGGCATATGGAGCACATGTGTGCCGACGGGAACGCTCCATCAGAGGAGGAGTGACGGGAAATGACAGGCACTGTAGAGCCGATACACAGGGGAGGCCTCGGAGAGGACAAGGGCCTGGGGTGGAGCCTTTAAAAGTTCACCACTGAGTGGGTGGCCGGCCAGAGAGAGACACCGTCAGAAAAGGGGGAAGGCCAGGCACGGTGGCTCACACCTGTAATCCCAGGGCTTTGGGACACCAAAGCGGAGGATCGCTTGGGCCCAGGAGTTCAAGACCAGCCTGGGCAACACAGCAAGACCCCATCTCTTTAAACAAAAAAAAAAAAAAAAAAGGCCAGGCGCGGTTGGGCTCCTACCTGTAACCTCAGCACTTTGGGAGGCCGAGGCGTTCAGACCCAGGAGTTCTTGGATCCAGGAGTGCAAGACCAGCCTGGGCAACATAGCAAGACCTCACCTCTTTTAAAAAAAAAAAAAAAAAAAAAAAGGCCAGGCATGGTTGGGCTCACAACTGTAATCTCAGCACTTTGGGAGGCCGAGGTGGGCAGATCACTTGAGGTTAGGAGTTCGAGACCACCCTGGCCAACATGATGAAACCCCTTCTCTACTAAAAATACAAGGCACAGTGACAGGTGCCTGTAATCCCAGCTACTAGCGAGGCTGAGGCAGGAGAATTGCTCGAACCCAGGAGGCAGAGGTTGCAGTGAGCTATGATGGCACCACTGCACTCCCGTCCGGGTGACAAAGTAAGACCTTGTCTCCAAAAAAAAAAAGAAAAAAGGGGGAAACACCAGGGCTTGTTTAATCATGGAAACAAGGCCACATGCAACTGGCAAGGCCAGCAAAGTGACAGCGGAAAATTCCCATGACATTGATCATCATTGGATGACCCTGAGGAAAGGAGAGGCGTGAGGTTGGAAGTTCACGCAGACAGGGCTGAGGAGTCAAACCAGAAGGGAGGAAGTGCAGTCAGCAGAGAGAGAGGCCTCGAGAGCCATCTTCCCAGGATAAAGGAAAACATAATGAAAGAGGAGGATGAGGAAGTGAATAAGGATTGTTTGTTGGTTTTAATTTGAGCACCTTTAAAACTCAAAGAGAATGAGACCCTGGAGAGAGAAAAGTCGCCTGGAAGAAACAATACAGTCAACAGCAGCAAACTCTGAGATGGGCATGCGGGGCCCAGGGGCGGCCCAGCTGTCCCATCCCCGCCTCTGCCCTCACAGACTGAGTCAGCACCGCAAGGTCACGCCTTGAACTTGAACTCCAAACCAGGGTGGAGAAATGGAAGCAGCTATACCAGCCTCATTGTTTAAAAAGACAGTTGTGCTGGGTGTGGTGACGCCTACTTGTAATCCCAGCTACTCGGGAGGCCCAGGTGGGAGGATCGCTTGAGCCCAGGAGTTCAAGACCAGCCTGGACAACATAGCGAGACTCTGCCTCTAGGAAAATAAAAATTTTAAAAAGATGGTTGTAAAACTGTCTAGACATTATGTAATTCATAAGCAACAGTTTGTAAATATTAAGGTTCTATCATTGAAACACTCACCGCTCTCAGATGAAAAAAAGGTGACCCCTTTTCCAGTAGATTGAAAATTCATTTTGGAGACTCTTTCATCACTTAGAGACTTCTTGATCTTGGGCTTTTACATTTTAAAAAAATCATGAAGCAAAATGTTACTTTTACATCATTGTGGGCTTAAAACTACTTGTTTACACTATAATTAGAAAATTATTAATGAGGCTGTTCTCCTTGAGCTAATTTGCCTTTCATTTGGTTTTTTTTTTTTTTTTTTTTTTTAGAGACAGAGTTTCACTCTGTTGCCCAGGCTGGAGCGCAATGGAGCGATCTCAGCTCACTGCAGCCTCCACCTCTCGGGTTCCAGCGATTCTCCTGCCTCAGCTTCCCTGGGTAGCTGGGACTACAGGCATGTGCCACCACACCTGGCTAATTTTTGTATTTTTAGTAGAGACAGGGTTTCACCATATTGGCCAGGCTGGTCTCAAACTCCTGACCTCAGGCGACCTGCCCACCTCGGCCTCCCAAAGTGCTGGGATTACAGGTGTGAGCCACGCACCCAGCCAATTTGACTATTTTTAACCTGAATAAAATATTTATACTATTAAGGAAATGAATAACAGAATTATTGTATTACTGAAAGGCTCTCAAAAAAAACAAAATAAAAACCCCAAAAACTTGAAAATGTCCCCTGGGTCTGTTGGCACAGTATTTATTGTATAAAAGTTAACCATAGATTCATATATTAATGGCTTTAATTATTATTATATTTTTTGAGACAGAATCTCGCTCTGTTGCCCAGGCTGGAGTGCACTGGCAGGATCTCAGCTCACTGCCACCTCTGCCTCCCGGGTTCAAGCAATTCTTCTGCCTCACCCTCCTGAATAGCTGGGATTACAGGCACCTGCCATCAGGCCTGGCTAATTTTTGTATTTTTTAGTAGAGACAGGGTTTCACCATGTTGGCCAGGCTGGTCTCAAACTCCTGACCTCAAGTGACCCACCCACCTCTCCCAAGGTGCTGGGATTACAGGCGTGAGCCACTGCGCCGGCCCTGACGCCCACATTTCCACCTCCAGCTGGAGTTTGCCCTTGAACTCCAGTCTTGCCTCTGGCTGTGCTACTTGGGCCTCAATTCAGGCACCTTAAGCTTAGCTTGTCCAAAATCAACCACTTAATTTTGCTCCCCAAACTCAGCCCCCTGCCTCCGTCTTCCACATCATCTTAAATGGCCACTCTATTCTTCCAATGCTCAGCCAAAACATTGTGGACTCATCTTTGCCTTCTCCTTCCCTCTCAACCCCCGCAGCCTTCAAAACACCTCAGACCTCAGCCCACCTTAGTCCCAGTCACCATCGCCTCCCACCGGGATGGTTCCAAGAGCTTCCACACTGGTTTCTCAACAGTGAAGCCACAGAGCCTCCTGACACCTCTGCTCAGACGCTGTCCCATCCCATCCCACCTCACCCAGAATAAACGCCAGGGCCCCACCCCGGTCAGACGCCCTTCCTGTCACTTAGACCTCATAAGTGGGAAGAAGCAGCGCTTGCGGTAACCGGTGCTAATTCTGGAGTCAAACTGCCTGGGCACAAACACCCGCTCCACAACTTACTGCTAATGCAGCTGTGGCCAAGTTATTTAACCTTCCTGGGCCTGGCTTCCCTCCTAGAGAGAACTGCAGTACCTGAAGGTCATCGGGACGCTGAGCTGGTCCCTGGGGACGGCTCGGCACCAGGTAAACACCCAAAAACCCTATTAGCGCTGTTCACCTGCTGCTGTGACCCCTCCTCCCTGCCGTGCCCCCTCCCCCCTGCCGTGCCCCTCCCCCTGCCGTGCCCCCTCCCCCCGCCGTGCCCCTCCCCCTGCCGTGCCCCTCCCCTGCCGTGCCCCTCCTCCCTGCCGTGTCCCCTCCTCATTGCCGTGTCCCCTCCGCACCGGAACGTAGTGTCCATGAGGGCGTGGGTTTCTGTTCGGTGCCAGGCCCCCAGCGCATGGTAAAGAGCTCTTCACAGAGCGGGCACTCGGTACCGGGTCTCTACACGGTTAGTTGCCAAGACAAACCTCTGATTTCCTTATTTTGTTAACATCAGGCCAGAGCTCTAACTTGCTGGAAGATGACCTGGCACTGTCAGAGTGAGCAGCATCCGATTCGTGGCTCAGGACCGCGCTGGGACTCTTGCTCTGGGCGTCCTACGCAAGAACAAACACACGTGTCAGAGGGCTTCTGGTTTCCACAGAGATCCACACAGGCACACACATGTGCACACACACACACATTATGTTAATGCGGTATAACTGATTTACAATGAACTACACACGAAGTGTACCCTTGGATGTGTTTTCACATGTCTATACCTGTGAAACCATCGCCTCAGTCAAGACAGTGAACAGAATCAGGCACAGTGGCTCACGCCTGTAATCTTGGCACTTTGGGAGGCCAAGGTGGGCGGATCACCTGAGCCCAGGAGTTTGAGACCAGCCTGGGCAACATAGTGAGACCCCATCTCTAAAGAAATAAATAACAGGCCAGGCACGTTGGCTCATGCCTGTAATCCCAGAAGTTTCAGAGAATGAGGCGGGTGGATCACTTGAGGCCAGGAGTGTGAGACCAGGCTGGCCAATACGGTGAAACCCTGTCTTTACTAAAAATACAAAGATTGGCCGGGTTTGGCAGTGCGCACCTGTAATCCCAGCTGCTTGGGAGGCCGAGGCAGGAGAATCACTTGAACCCAGGAGGCAGAGCCTTCAGTGAGCCAAGATTATGCCACTGCACTCGAGCCTGGGCAACAGAGCAAGATTTTGTCTCGAAATCACACACACACAAACACCCCCCCACACCCATCTACACACACCCACACTACACCCCCCCACACACACCCCACACACACCCACACCCCCACACACACCTACACCCCCACACACACCCACACACACACACCCACACCCCCCCCACACACCCACACCCCCACACACCACACCCCACACACACCTACACACACACCCCCACACACACACCCACACACCCCCACACAGTCCCAACCCACACACACCCCAACATTCCCACATCCACACACACCCTCACACCCCCACACACACCCCCACACACACACCCCTACTCACACCCACACCCACACACAGTGAACTTTTAGGTACCCAGCCTGACGCCCGTCGTGGACGTGAAGGCTCCTCCACGCTGGCGACCGGGAATGCAAACTACTCCCAGCCCTGTGTGAGTGCTTGAGCTTCCTCCCCTTCTTCCCGGCGGCCCTTCCCTTAGGTCCCAGCTGTTCCCTCACACGCGCGCGCACTCAGCTGACAGCTCAAGGACAGCCTTCTGCCCGTCTCTGGAGCTTGCTGTCCCTCTGCACAGCACACTTTCCTCTGTGGGACAAAATTCTACCTCTGCCTCCCCACGACCGGAGTGTGCGAAGCTACCGTGAGCTGAGCAAGAAGGATCAGCTTTAGTAAGTTTGAAGCTGAGCCTCTATGATCTCTAAATCACTCTCCCAAACTGTTGGTCAAAAGGGAGCAGTGATTGCCTTGGACCCTGACATGAACGTTCAGGTTCCAGTGTACTTTGAGTGAGACGGGGTTTCACCACGGTTGGCCAGGCTGGTCTCAAATTCCTGACCTCAAGTGATCCGCCCACCTTGGCCTTCCAAAGTGCTGAGATTACAGGTGTGAGCCACCGCGCCTGGCCGGGGTGTCCATCCTTGTGAGCAAGCCCTGGGGACCTGTTTAGCATCCCACGCACACTCAGGAACTGTTCCCCGACAGATCTGCTCTTGAGCAGGCCTGTCCACTCTTAGAAACACCGGATCCATGTAACAAAACATCTCCTAGTAAAATATCTCTGATTTCCTTTTGAGATGGAGTCTCGCTCTATCGTCCAGGCTGGAGTGCAGTGGCGCGATCTTGGCTCACTGCAAGCTCCATCTCCCAGGTTCACGCCATTCTCCTGCCTCAGCCTCCCGAGTAGCTGGGACTACAGTCGCCTGCCACCATGCCCGGCTAATTTTTTTTTTTATTTTTTAATTAGAGACCGGGTTTCACCATGTTAGCCAGGATGGTCTCGATCTCCTGACCTCATGATCTGCTGGCCTCAGCGTCCCAAAGTGCTGGGATTACAGGCGTGAGCCACCACACCCGACAATACCTGTGATTTTCTCATGTGTGGTCTAGTGGCCCCCCCAGCATGTCGGTATGCACTGTGACCTTCATTATGAAATCTGCTGTGGCTAAGAGTCCACTTTCTGGGTCAGGGCCAGGAAACTCATTTTCCCAAACTTAAAAAAAATCTGTACACACTTCCAAAATGTGAAAAAGACATGTTGGCCGGGCACGGTGGCTCATACCTGTAATCCCAGCACTTTGGGACACTGAGGCAGGAGGATCACTTGAGCTCAGGAGTTTGAGACCAGCCTGGGCAACATGGCAAAACCCCATCTCTACAAAAAAATACAAAAAGGCCAGACACAGTGGCTCAGGCCTGTAATCCTAGCACTTTGGGAGGCCAAGGCGGGTGGATCAACTGAGGTCAGGAGTTCGAGACCAGCCTGGTCAACATGGCAAAACCCCATCTCTACTAAAATATAAAGAATTAGCCAGGTGTGGTGACACATGCCTGTAATCCCGGCTACTTGGGAGGCTGAGGCATGAGAATCATTTGAATCCAGGAGGCAATGGTGGCAGTGACCTGAGATTGTGCCACTGCACTCCAGCCTGGGCAACAGAGTGAGACTCTATCTCAAAAAAAAAAAAAATTAGCTGGGTGTGGTGGCACAAGCCTGTAGTCCTGGCTACTCAGGAGGCTAAGATGGGAGGAGCGTGTGAGCTCAGGGGGTCAAGGCTGCCGTGAGCCGTGACTGCACCACTGCACTCAAGCCTGGATGACAGAGGGAATTCCTGTCTCAAAATACATAAAACAAAATTTCAAAAGGAAAAAGGAAAGACTTCTTAAATTACTTTCTGGAAGGGTTAGTAAAACCAAGATAGTTTTGATGATGGTTTAACCATTCCAGAATAAAGTCATTCCTTGCTCTGTCTTTTTTCTGAGACAGAGTCTCGCTCTGTCGCCCAGGCTGGAGTACAGCGGTGCGATCTCAGCTCACTGCAAGCTCCGCCTCCCGGGTTCACGCCATTCTCCTGCCTCGGCCTCCCGAGTAGCTAGGACTACAGGCGCCCGCCACCACGCCTGGCTAATTTTTTTCTATTTTTAGTAGAGATGGGGTTTCACTGTGTTAGCCAGAATGGTCTCGATCTCCTGACCTCGTGATCTGCCCGCCTCGGCCTCCCAAAGTGCTGGGATTACAGGCGTGAGCCACCGCGCCCGGCCCTCCTTGCTCTGTAATTCTAAGATTACCTAATTCTAAGACATTGTGTTACCTGATTTAGTATTGTATAAATAGTTTCCGGTTTATTTCCAGACACATCATCAGTTGGAACATTCGCATAGGATTTAGTCATTTGGTCAGTAACACAGATGAATGCAAAGCTTAAGAGAGCTTCAAAGAATTCCAGGAAAACCAGCTGAAATAAAAGAAAACACAGAGTTTCCATCATTCGGACACACCTGGAGACAGAGCATTGATAGACTGGCGTTCATTATTTCCTGACATCTGAATACGCACACGTTTGCACACAGACATGCAGACACGTGCACACAGACACACACATGCACAGACACGCACACAGACACACACACACATATATTCTGTACTTGTGTTCAGACTGCTTTCAATCAAATCTTGGTTCTTAGACTGGTCACAGTGGCTCACATCTGTAATCTCAGCACGTTAGGAGGCTGAGGCAGGAGGATCGTTTGAGCCCAGTAGTTTGAGACCAGCCTGGGCAACACAGTGAGACCCATTCTGTACAAAAAATTGTTTTTAAAAAATCCGCTGAAGGCCCGGTGTGGTGGCTTACGCCTGTAATCCCAGCACTTTGGGAGGCCAAGGCAGGCGGATCACGAGGTCGGGAAATCGAGACCACCCTGGCTAACATGGTGAAACTCCATCTCTACTAAAAAAAATACCAAAAAAAAGAAAAAATTAGCCAGGAGTGGTGGCGGCACCTGTAGTCCCAGCTACTCGGGAGGCTGAGGCAGGAGAATGGCGTGAACCCGGGAGGCAGAGCTTGCAGTGAGCCGAGATTGTGCCACTGCACTCCAGCCTGGGCGACAGAGCAAGACTCCGTCTCAAAAAAAAAAAAAAAAAAAGTGTAAACGAAAAGGCTAATGAAAAAAAGAAAAAAAATCTTGGTTCTTTGTTATTGGTATCCATGGCAAAACCAACAGCCTGAATTGGATCTGTACCGTTTGTGACAGCTCTTTACAAACCTCAGGTTCAAAGCTGCTGTCAGTTCCATCATATATGAAAGGATTATCCTCTGCTATGACCTCCATAAATATAGCTGCTAATTCTTTATTTATCATTTTAAAGTCCTGTAAAAAAGGAAATCAAACCATAACTGCCTATAATTGTAAACAGCTACATATTTTAATGTCAATTTATGTCAATACAATAATTAAGAAAGTGTACCAGAAATTAATATCTTTTTTCTTTTTTCTTTTTTTTGAGAGACGGAATCACTCTGTCGCCCAGGCTGCTGTGCAGTGGTGCAATCTCAGCTCACTGCAACCTCCACCTCCTGGGTTCAAGTGATTCTCCTGCCTCAGCCTCCCAAGTAGCTGGGACTACAAGTGCACAACACCACGTCCAGCTAATTTTTGTATTTTTTTAGTAGATTTCACTATATGTTGGCCAGGCTGGTCTCAAACTCCTGACCTCAAGTGATCTGCCTCCCTCAGCCTCCCAAAGGGCTGGGATTACAGGCGTGAGACATTGCACCGAGTCATAAATTAATATCTTAAAGACTGATAATTTTGAAAAGCATTCTGGATTAACATTGGTATGTATGGCCAGGCATGGTGGCTCACACCTGTAATCCCAGAACCTTGTGAGGCTGAGGTGGGAGGATCACTTGAGCCCAGGCATTGGGGATCAGCCTGGGCAACAGAGCAAGACCCTGTCTCTACAAAAATTAAAAATGTAGGCCGAGCATGGTGGTGCATGCCTGCAGTCCCAGCCACTCAGGAGGCTGAGGTGGGAGGATCACTGAAGTCCAGGAGTTTGAGGCCACAGTGAACTGTGATCACAACACTGCACTCCAGCCAGGGTGACAGAGCAAGACCCTGTCACACACACACACACACACACACACACACACACACACACACACACCTCTCTATCCCTTCTCTAGCACCTCCAAAATAACAGTAAAGTATTTTTTGGCACAGAACAGGACATAGAACATGGGAGAACAGGTGTGAAATATGAACACAATGCTGTAGGATGAAAAGCACCTGGGGAAACAATGTACTGCACAACAAAACCGGTTTTACCACAATTGACATGAAGAAGAGTTACGCTCTTCGCATTGGTTAAAGTCACAGTTTCCAAGAACAATGCTGTAGGATGAAAAGCACCTGGGGAAACAATGTACTGCACAACAAAACCGGTTTTACCACAATTGACATGAAGAAGAGTTACGCTCTTCGCATTGGTTAAAGTCACAGTTTCCAAGAACCTATCAATAATCGATAATGTTAATAATGTTAGGTGGCTCACACCTGTAATCCCAGCACTTTGGGAGGCCGAGGCAGGCGGATCATGAGGTCAAGAGATGGAGACCATCCTGGCCAACATGCGGAAACCCCAGCTCTGCTAAAAACACAAAATAATTAGCTGGGCATGGTGGGTGCCTGTAATCCCAGCTACTCGGGAGGCTGAGGCAGGGGAATCACTTGAGCCCAGGAGGCAGAGGTTGCAGTGATCTCAGATCGCGCCACTGTACTCCAGCCTGGGTGACAGAGCAAGATTCCGTCTCGATAATAATAATGTTAAGTGAGGAGTTACTGTACCCAAATGTTCAGGTTTCAATATTATTTTAAAAAATCACTCATATCGATCAGCCTCGGTAACACGGCGAAACCCCGTCTCTACTAAAAATACAAAAATTAGCCGGGCGTAGTGGCAGGCACCTATAATCCCAGCTATTTGGGAGGCTAACGCAGGAGAATCACATGAGCCCGGGAGGCAGAGGTTGCGGTGAGTTGAGATTGCACCACTGCACTCCAGCCTGGCGACAGAGTAAGACTCTGTCTCAAAAAAAAAAAAAAAAGTAAAAAACAAAAACGTTAAGTGAGGACTTACTGTACTCAAATGTTCAGGTTTCAATATTTTTTAAAAAATCACTCATACTGACCAGCCTGGGCAACATGGTGAAACCCCATCTTTACTAAAAATACAAAAATTAGCCTGGCATGGTGGCAGGTGCCTGTAATCCCAGCTACCTGGGAGGCTGAGGCAGGAAAATCCCTTGAACCAGGAGGCAGAGGTTGCAGTGAGCCGAGATCATGCCACTGCAGTCCAGTCTGGGAGACAGAGCAACACTCTGCCTCCAAAAAAAAAAAAAAAGCAAAAAAACAAAAAACACAAAAACACACTCATACTAAGAACCAGGAAGATCTCAAACTGAATGAAAAAAGAGAGTCCACAGATGCCATCACCAAGACGACAGGGATGTTACAATTGACGGACAGAGACTGTAAGACAGTCATCACAAAAACGCTTCAATGAGGCTGGGTGCGGCGGCTCATGCCTCTAATCCTAGCACTGTGGGAGGCCGAGATGGGTGGATCACCTGAGCTCAGGAGTTTGAGACCAGCCTGGGCAACATGGTGAAATTCTGTCTCTATTAGCTGGGCGTGGCGGCGTGCACCTGTAATCCCAGCTACTCGGGAGGCTGACGCAGAAGAATCCCTTCAACCCAGGAGGCGGAGGTTGCAGTGAGCCCAGATCATGTCACTGCACTCCAGCCTGAGCGACAGAGCAAGACTCTGTCAAAAATAAAAATAAAATAAAAACTTCAATGGGCAATTACAAACATGCTTGAAACAAACGAAAAACTGAAAAGGGCTAGGTGTACTGGCTCACTCCTGTAATCCCAGCACTTCAGGAGGCCGAGGCAACAGGACTGCTTGAGCCCAGGAGTTCAAGATCAGCCTGGGCAACATGGCAATAACACGTCTGTACAAAAAATAGAAAAATTAGCTGGGTATGTTGGCACACATGTAGTCCCAGCTACTCAGGAGGCTGAGGTGGGAGGATCGCTTGAACCCAGGAGGTCGAGGCTGCTGGGAGCCAAGATCGCACCACTGCACTCCAGCCTGGGTGACAGAGCGAGACCCTCGCTCAAAACAACAAACTATTTTCCCACAGTTACACACTAGGTTACCATCCATTTTTCTTATGTATACGACGTTACGAAATTTGTAAAAACTCCTTAGCATTAGTATTCGATTCTGTTTAATCATTTGTATTCCCACAAGTACAAATTAAAAGTATCATGGAACAGGCCAGGCACAGTGGCTCACACCTGTAATCCCAGCACTTTGGAAGATCAACGCAGGCGGATCACGAGGTCAAGAGATCGAGACCATCCTTGCTAACACAGTGAAACCCCGTCTCTACTAAAAATACAAAAATCAGCTTAATATGGTCATGCACACCTGTAGTCCCAGCTACTCGGGAGGCTGAGGCAGGAGAATTGCTTGAACCCAGGAGGCAGACGTTGCAGTGAGCCGAGATCGCACCACTGCACTCCAGCCTGGCGAAAGAGTGAGACTCTGTCTTAAAAAATATATATATATCATGGAACAAAAACAACCAATAGTATGAGAACATTGTATAAATAAGATGTTGTCACTATTTTCCCAAGTAATAACTTTTGAAAATTCCATTTTCAATAAACTGTAATTGTTTTAAATGACATTGATCCTCCCCACTTCCTTTTTTTTTTTTTTTTTTGAGACAGAGTTTTGCTCTTGTTGCCTAGACTGGAGTGCAGTGGCACGATTTCAGCTCATTGCAACCTCTACCTCCCGGGTTCAAGCAATTCTCCTGCCTCAGCCTCCCAAGTAGCTGGGATTACAGGCTCCCGCCACCACACCTGGCTAATTTTTTTTTGTATTTTTAGTAGAAACAGGGTTTCACAGTGTTGGCCAGGCTGGTCTCAAACTCCTGACCTCAGGTGATCCACCCGCCTCAGCCTTCCAAAGTTCTTCCTTTGTAAAAAGATTTCAGTTGGCTTTATTGCTGTTCTAGGATCAGGCAACACGCTGGTCCATCAAAAAGAGTAAGATGTTCCTCCATTTTCCTTTTTTGTTTATTGGGGGAATTTTTGGGGACAGGGCCTCCCTCTGTCAACCAGGCTGGAGTGCAGTGGCATGATCACAGCTTACTACGGCCTCCCAAGTAGCTGGGACTACAGGTGTGCACTACCACGCCCGGCTATGTTTTTTCATTTTTTGTAGAGAGGGGGATCTCACTGTGTTGCCCAGGCTGGTCTTGAATTCCTAAGCTCAGGTCACCCTCTTGCCTCGGTCTCCCGAAGTGCTGGAATTACGGGCATGCAGCACCGCGCTCGGCCCCATCTTCCTTTAAATAGCCGGATCTGCGTGAATAAACATACCGTAGGCCAGTCAGGCGCGGTGGCTCACGCCTGCAATCCCGGCACTTAGGGAGGCCGAGGCAGGTGGATCACCTGAGGTCAGGAGTTCGAGACCAGCCTGGGCAACATGGTGAAACCCCGTCTCTACTACAAATACAAAAATTAACCGGGCGTGATGGTAGGCACCTGTAATCCCAGCTACTTAGGAGGCTGAGGCAGAAGAATTGCTTGAGCCCAGGAGGTGGAGGTTGCAGTGAGCCAAGATCGCCTCATTGCACTCCAGCCTGAGTGACAAGAGCAAAACTCTGTCTCAAAAAAAAAAAAAAAAAATATATATATATATATATATATATATATATTTTAAGACAATGGCCCATGGCATATATAAATTTATATGGCCAAGCTGGTCTTGAACTCCTTGATCTCAGGTGATTCACCCGCCTCGGCCTGCCAAAGTGCTGGGATTGCATCATATATATATATATATATATATATATATATATATATATATATGCCATTGTTATAGGCCATAGGCCATTGTCGTGCCCTAATCTGTGAGCACATTGGGCAGGTGACGGCTGTTTCTGTTCCTTCCACGACCACAGACCACTGTTCTGCCAAGAGACTCCGTAAACATTCAATGGTTCTGAAAATCCAGCCCAGATCTTCACCTGATTATTTGCATATCATAGCTGGAATATCTTGCCTCTCTTTACTTAAAATCAAAGTGCCTGTAAATAGAAAGCCAGTATTGAACTTAGGTAGTTACTTTCAGCATCCAGAGGAAGTGTCTCATCTTCATCGTAGGCTCGTGGGGAGGCGCTGCGTGGGGTCTGCAGTAAGCTAGATAAATCTCCCAGCACTTCTTCATGTAATTCATAGAGTAGAGCGTCCGCTGTTGCTCACGGAATAAATTGCCTAAAAATACAATGGTCGAAAAATGATTACAGATTTATATTTTGAGTGAAAAAAAATAGCAGTAAATACACTCCTATTGTTTTTCTTTTTTTCCAAGACAGAGTCTTCTTGTTGCTCAGGCTGCAGTGCTTTGGCACGATCTTGGCTCACTGCAACCTCCGCCCTCCAGGCTCAAGCGATTCTCCTGCCTCAGCCTCCAGAGTAGCTGGGATTACAGGCATGCACCACCACGCCCGGCTAATTTTTTGTGTTTTTAGTAGAGACAGGGTTTTGCCATGTTGGCCAGGCTGGTCTTGAACTCCTTGACCTCAGGTGGTCCACCCACCTCGGCCTCCCAAAGTGCTGGGATTGCAGGAGTGAGCCACTGCGCCCAGCCCAGATTTATTTTTTTTTTTTTTTTTTTTTTTTTTTTTTTTTGAGACGGAGTCTCGCTCTATCACCCGGGCTGGAGTGCAGTGGCCGGATCTCACTCACTGCAGCTCCGCCTCCCGGTTCCCATCTCCTCCTCAGCCTCCGGTGCTGACTACGCGCCGCCCCTAGCTTTTTGTATTTTTTTTAGAGGGGTTTCACCTGTTAGCCAGATGGTCTCGATTCCTACCTTGTGATCGCCCGTCTCAGCCTCCAAGTGCTGGATTCAGCTGACCCACGCCGCTCAGATTTATATTTTGAGGAAAAAAAAAAAATGGGGCCGTAAATCGAATCCTATTGGTTTTGTATTTACCTTTTATCTGGCAGGCATTTGGATGAATGTTCTCAGTCATCAGTTTTGTAAAACACAAGAAGAGCGATGGGCTTCTCTTTCTGTGATAATGATCAAGAAATACAATAATTACTTCTCCAAAAGAGGGAAATTAATTCCCTTCTCCTTGAGCACAGGCTAGACTTAATAATTTCTTTCTAATGTATAGAGTATAGAAAGGGAAGGCTGGAGTCAGTGGTTCACACCTATAATCCCAGCATTTTGGGAGGCCAAGGCGGGCGGATCACTCAAGGTCAGGAGTTCAAGACCAGCCTAGCCAACATGGTGAAATCCCATCTCTACTAAAAATGCAAAAAATTGGCTGGGCTTGGTGGCGGACACCTGTAATCCCACCTACTTGGGAGGCTGAGGCTGAGGCAGGAGAATCACTGGAACCCGGGAGGTGGAGGTTGCAGTGAGCCGAGATTGCGCCACTGCACTCCAGCCTGGGTGACAGAGCAAGACTCCATCTCAAAAAAATAAATACATAAATAAAAGATTTTTGTAAAAAAAGATATAAAACCACTTTTGCTGTAAGAAAGACATGAAATTCTGACATAAGAAAAGTTGGTTGTGATTATTTGTTTCTGCATTAAAAACCCCAAGAGATATTTGCAGTATTGAACAGATTCAAATATGAAGGGTTTTCAAAGTTTTGATCTAGTATCTCATGGCTTTGTGGTTAATATTTGTAGAAAGACTGTGTTCTGAGTCCTTCATTTCAAGGGTATTTAAAAAAAAAAAAAAAAAAAAAGACTGCTGAGGCTGGGCATGGTGGCTCACGCCTGTAATCCCAGCACTTTGAGAGGCTGAGGCAGGTGGATCACCTGAGGTCAGGAGTTCGAAACCAGCCTGGCCAACATGGTGAAACCCCATCTCTACTAAAAATACAACAACAACAACAAAAAAAATTGCCAGGCATGGTGGCACATGCCTGTCATCCCAGGTACCCAGGAGCCTTGCTTGAACCTGGGAGGCAGAGGTTGCACTGAGTCAAGATTGTGCCACTGCACTCCAGCCGGGGCAACAGAGCAAGACTCCGTTTCCAAAAAAATAAAAATGACTGCTGAAGAAAAGAGGACATTATGACAATAGTACAATCTAGCCATGCCCCGTCCCCCAACGGGGGTCCAGAAATAGTACTTACTGGAATTCTTCGTGATAAATGTGGTACGCCAAATGCAGGAGGTAATTCAAAAATGTTCTCAGAAGTATTGTTGTAAATGGAGAATGGATTTCTTCATCTGGTATGTCATTACTGGCTAAAATAAGAAAAATGGAGAGGATGTCTGATATTTGCTAGAACCTTCCATATTATTTGCTCCTGGTATACAATTCGAAGAACTGAATATGAGAGAGTACTTATTTCAAAATGCTCTGAACATGTATAAGCATCCAACTAAAAATTTAAAACTCCGTGAAAGCCAGGCACAGTGGCTCACGCCTGTAATCCCAGCACTTTGGGAAGCTGAAGCAGGCAAATTGCCTGAGGTCAGGAGTTTGAGACCAGTCTGGGCAACATGGTCAAACCCTGTCTCGACCAAAAATACAAAAAATTAGCCAGGTGTGGTGGTGCGCACCTGTAATCCCAGCTACTAGGGAGACTGAGGCAGGAGAATTGCTGGAACCCAGGAGGCAGGACTTGCAGTGAGCCAAGATTGAGTCACTGCACTCCAGCCTGGGCAAAAGAGCAAGACTTCGTCTAAAAAAAAAAAAAAAAAAAAAGTCAATCTGGTTCCTTTACAAGACGAGGTATCTTGTCCCACTGTTTTCCAGAGTAGTCTGAGACACAATCTGATGAATGATGCTAATTCTAAATGGATTTTAAGTATGTTTCAAACACTAAACTTTGACGTAAATGGGCATTTTTTCTAATACTTTATTTTTCAAGTGGATAATTTGAAGCTTGCAGCTCTGCCTCCCAGAATTTGGCTGAAAGAAGTCAAACTTCCAAAGTTGTTAAAATTTATCATTTCAACTTCCTAATTTGAAATCAAGACCAATCCTAAGACTACTTAGGGCCTTTTCTAGACTCTTCCAAGCCAGTGCTGATTCTCCCCTTTTTTTTTTTTTTTTTTGAGAACAGTGTCTCACTCTGTTGCCCAGGCCTGAGTGCAATGGCGTGATCTCGGCTCACTGCAACCTTCGCCTCGTGAGTTCAAGCGATTCTTCTGCCTCAGCCTCCCGAGTAGCTGGGACTACAGGCATGTACCACCATACCCGGCTAATTTTTTGTATTTTTAGTAGAGATGGGGTTTCACCGTGTTAGCCAGGATGGTCTTAAACTCCTGACCTCATGATCTGCCCACTTCAGCCTCCCAAAGGGCTGATTACAGGTGTGAACCACTGCGCCCAGCCTTTTTTTTTTTTTTTTGGTTGTTGAGACAGTCTCACTCTGTCACCCAGGATGGAAATCTTGGCTCACTGCAACCTCCACCTCCCAGGCTCAAGCGATTCTACTCCTGCCTCAGCCTCCCACTAAGTAGCTGGGAATACAGGCATGAACCACCACACCTGGCTAATTTTTGTGTTTTTAGTAGAGACGGAGTTTCACCACATTGGCCAGGCTGGTCTCAAACTCCTGGACTCAAGTGATCCATCTCGGCCTTCCAAAGAGCTGGGATTACAGGCGTGCGCCGCGAGGCCTGGCTGTCTCCCCATCTCTGACCTGACAAGTCAGTGCTTTTTCACTGTAGATCGGTGGTCGGGGGGAAAGAGGGAGGCAAACTTTCTGTAAAGGGCCGGAGAGTAAGTATTTTAGGCTTGGTGGACCAGACAGTCTACACCACAACCCCTCCGCGGTGGTGCTTTGGGGTAAAGCAGCCACAAACATGTGAGCAAATGGGCATGTCTGTGTTCCAGTAAAGCATGATTTAGGGGAACCGGGGCGGACTGGATTTCACCCTGGGACCATGCATGGCTGGCCTTGCTTTTGTAGGTGACCTCGTACTGTTGCTGTTACGTCACGAGACTGTCTCTTCAAGTACATTGTAATCACGGGGGGAACAAGACCACGTGCTGATTACTGGAACACTCTTCTCCCAACCTGGGCCTTCACCACTCCCTCCGCATTTCCTAACTGCTTTCCAGGTGACACTGTGATACTGTCCTTTAAATCAGCGGTCCCCAGCCTTTTTGGCACTAGGGACCGATTTCGTGGAAGACAATTTTTCCATGAATGGTGGGAAGGGGTGGGGGGACTGTTGGTTTCAGGATGATTCAAGCACATTCGAATTACTGCACACTTTATTTCGATTACGATGACACTGTAATACATAATGAAACAATTCTACAACTCACCATCATATAGACTCAGTGGGAGCCTGAGCTTGTTTTCCTACAACTAGGGGTGACGGGAGACAGCGACAGATCATCAGGCATTAGATTCTCCTAAGGAGCGTGAACCTCCATCCCTCGCCTGCCAGTTCACAGGAGGATTTGTGCTCCTGTGAGAATCTAACGCCCTGCTGATCTGCAGGAGGTAATGCCAGCGATGGGGAATGGCTGTAAAATCAGATGAAGGTAGGCTGGGTGCGGTGGCTCACACCTGTAATCCCAGCACTTCGGGATTACCTCAGCGGGCGGATCACAAGGTCAGGAGTTCAAGATCAGACTGGTAAACAAAAAAAAAAAAAAAGATCAGACTGGGCCAACATGGTGAAACCCCATCACTATTAAAAATACAAAAATTAGCCGGGGGGGGTGGGGGGGGGGGGGGGGGGGGGGGGGGGGGGGGGGGGCATCGGGCATGGGCTAGGGCAGGCACCTGTCATCCTAGCTACTCAGGAGGCTGAGGCAGGAGAATTGCTTGAACCTGGGAGGCAGAGGTTGCAGTGAGCCGAGATTGCGCCACTGCACTCCAGCATGGGTAACAGAGTGAGACTCTGTCTCAAAAAAAAAAAGATAGAAAGAAAAACATGGGTATATGTACATCGATAGTTTTTTCAAGAGTTTGGAGCTTTTTGTTGTGAAAATACACACTTACTCCACATACAGTCAGGCTCCTGGGTCTCACGCACTGTATAAGTTCTCTCTCTCTTCCTCCTTCTCCTATTTCTCCTCCTCCCCTCTATCTCCCCCACAATCTTTCCCCAACTTTAAGCACCTTTAGGCCACAGAATGTGTCTTATTAAACTAGGCTAGTAACCAGCAGAATACCCATCACACACAAGAGACTCCCTTTTTTTTTTTTTTTTGAGACGGAGTCTCACTCTGTGGCCCAGGCTGGAGGGCAGTGGTGTGATCTCACCTCACTGCAACCTCTGCCTCCCAGGTTCAAATGATTCTCCTGCCTCAGCCTCCCGAGTAGCTGGGACTACAGGCGCCCGCCACCACGCCAGGCTAATTTTTTTGTATTTTTAGTAGAGATGGGGATTCACCATGTTAGCCAGGATGGTCTCGATCTCCTGACCTCGTGATCCACCCACCTTGGCCTCCCAAAGTGCTAGGATTACAGGCGTGAGCCACAGTAGCTGGCCTTTTTTTTTTTTTTTTTTTGAGGCGGAGTCTCGCTCTGTCGCCCAGGCTGGAGTGCAGTGGCGCGATCTCGGTTCACTGCAAGCTCCGCCTCCTGGGTTCCCGCCATTCTCCTGCCTCAGCCTCCCGAGTAGCTGGGACTACAGGCGCTGCCACCACGCCCGGCTAATTTTTTTGTATTTTTAGTGGAGACGGGGTTTCATTGTGTTAGCCAGGATGGTCTCGATCTCCTGACCTCGTGATCCGCCCGTCTCGGCCTCCCAAAGTGCTGGGATTACAGGCTTGAGCCACCGCGCCCGGCCTTTTTTTTTTTTTTTTTTGAGACGGAGCCTTGGTGTCACTCAGGCTGGATTGAGTAGCACAATCTTGACTCACTGCAACCTCCGCTTCCTGGGTTCAAGCAATTCTCCTTCCTCAGCCTCCTGAGTGGCTGGGATTACGTGCGTGCACCACCACGCCCAGCTAATTTTTGTCGTTTTAGTAGAGATGGGGGTTTCATCATGTTGGCCAGGCTGGTCTCAAACTCCTGACCTCAACTGATCCGTCCACTTCAGCCTCCCAAAGGGCTGGGATTACAGGCCTGAGCCACCATGCCTGGCCAAGACTCCCTGAGATTTGTCAAACCCAGGCCAATAGTCAGTTACTGATTCAGAAGTGGGCAAATGACCCTATTTGGCTCTGTGAAGTGAAAGACCTTTTTAGAGAGCTTCTATCAAAAGTTCCTCCTTTTCTTCTAGTTAGTATGGTATGCGGATGTGAAGGCTGGAACCACAGCAGCCAACTTGCAATCACGAGGGAAGAAAAACACAAGGGTGAAAGTGACATGGTGGGAGGTATTGTGGATAGATGGAAGAGAAATCCTAACAGCTCTGAGATGCTGAATTAAACCAACCTTGAAGCCTACAGTATTCTGTATTACACATGGCAGACAACAGTAGATTGTCTGTTACTGGCAAACTAAAACCACCCTCTTACACGCACACACACACACACACACACACACACACCCCAAAAACTGATTAAATAACCACTAAATATACAGGAAATTAGTGACCACTGAAAATATTTTGCTGGGCACAGTGGCTCATGCCTGTAATCCCAGCACTTTGGGAGGCAAAGGCGGGAGGATCACTTGAGACCAGGAGACCAGCTTGGCAAACGTGGCAAAACCCCTGAAACTACTTAAAAAAAAAAAAAAAAGAGCCGGGCGTGGTGGCGCACACGTGTAATCCCAGCTACTCTAGTGGCTGAGGCACAAGAATCACTTGAACCGGGAGGCGGAGGTTGCAGTGAGCCGAGATCGCGCCACTGCACTCCAGCCTAGGTGACAGAGTGAAACTCTGTCTCAAAAAAAAAAAAAGAAAAAGAAAAAAAGTCATGTAATCACCTTAGCAAAACAGTAAGTTATCCTATATAAAATAGATAATGCAATTTAATAGAGAATGACATGCCTTTTGTCTAAAAGAGTTCTGTAGATGGATGGTGATGGTGGCACAACAATGCGAATGTACTTCATGCCACTGGACTGTGCACTTAGAAATGATTCAGATGGTAAATCTTATGTGTACTTTACCACAATTAAAATTAAAAAGGTATCTAGAGTGCCTATATTTACCACAGACAAAATAGACCTCAGAGAAATAAAAATTACCAGGGTTGGCCAGGTGTGGTGGCTCACACCTGTAATCCCAGCACCCTGGGAGGCTGAGGTGGGCAGATCACTTGAGGCCAGGAGTTCGAGACCAGCCTGGCCAACAAGACGAAACCCGGTCTCTACTAAAAATACAAAAATTAGCCAGGCATGGTGGCCTGCACCTGTAATCCCAGCTACTCATGAGTCTGAGGAAGGAGAATCACTTGAACCCGGGAAGCGGAGGTTGTACTGAGCTGAGATCGCACCACTGTACTCCAGCCTGGGCAACAGAGCAAGACTGCGTCTCAGAAAGAAAGAAAATTAGCAGGGTTAATAGGAAATTACGTGATGATCAAAAGAGCCAGAGCACCAATGCATAATGACCCTCCACGTGTGCGCCCCGAACAACAAACTTCAAATATATGAAGCGAAATTGACAGAACTGAAAGCAGAAATAGACAAATCTGCAATTATACTGGGACATGTCAATGGCTTTACATCATTTCAATGGCTTTCCATCATTGTTTGAAATGCAATCTTCCCAGGTCTGTACTCACCGTGCCATGTTTCTTGTTGGAAACCCATTCTCCGTCATACACGGCTCCACTGGCGTGATAAAACTTGCCACGTCCATGACAATGTCCGTTTACAAACTCCCCTATGTATTCATTTCTCAAGGGATACTGGGAACTGGGGATTCTCTTTAGAAACCACATGTGTGTTCCAAAGCCATTCTGAAAAAAAGCAGACGGCCATGAGACATGCGCAAAGCAGTTTCTCTCTTTACCCGAATCCCCTCAAAATTATGATAAATGCAATGAAAACTGGAAAGGGCAAAGAACTTGGACTCTGGAGCCGCACAGACTTGGGTTCAATTTCAGCTCAGCTGCTTATTAACGAGTCTTTCGAACTAAGGCAAATGATTTAAGCCCTGTAAGTTCCTCATCCGTAAAACAGAAATAACACCTGCCCCTCAGCTTAGATACAAAGGAGTTCGAGACCAGCCTGGCCAACATGGTGAAAACCCGTCTCTACTAAAAATACAAAAAAAAAAAAAAAAAAAAAAATTAGCCGGGCCTTGGTGGTGGGTGCCTGTAATCTCAGCTACTTCAGAGGCTGAGGCAGGAGAATTGCTTGAACCCAAGAGGTGGAGGCTGCAGTGAGCTGAGATCACGCTACTGCACTCCAGCCTGGGCAACAGAGCAAGACTCTGTCTCTAAAAACAAACAAACAGGCTGAGTGTGGTGGCTCATGCCTGTAATCCTAGCACCTTAGGAGGCTGAGGCATGCAGATCACTTGAGGTCAGGAGTTCGAATCCAACCTGGTCAACATGGTGAAACCCCATCCCTACTAAAAATACAAAAACAACAATTAGCCAGGTCATGGTGGCGGGTGCCTGTAATCTCAGCTACTCCAGAGGCTGAGGCAGGAGAACTGCTTGAACCTGGGAGGTAGAGGCTGCAGTGAGCCGAGATTGCATCACTGCACTCCAGCCTGGGTGACAGAGAGAGAGACTGTCTCAAAAAAAAAAAAAAAAAAACCCGAAAAGACATAATACATGTGTTGAGAATCGGTGGAGTGTCCACCTCTGGGTATAAACTGCTCCCCCGCCCGGGCGTACCTGGAGGCCCCTTTCCCACCGCCCGGTGTACTCTTCGTTGGCGGTCAGCCACCTCATCCTCCCCTCCCCGTGGCGCATGTTGTCTTCCCACTGGCCTTCGTATATATTTCCAGATTTATAACTAGGATGAAAGAAACCGAAGAAAAGCAATCAGTTACCTCCTACACAATGTTTACCTTTAAGACATTCTTTTAAACACTCCCCTTGAGCTCCTTTGAAGAAATCTACCCCTTGTACCTATACAATCTTCTCTGTATTTAAATTCAGGCTGGGCGCGGTGGCTCACGCCTGGAATCCCAGCACTTTGGGAGGCCGAGGCTGGAGGATCACCTGAGGTGAGGAGTTCGAGACCAACCTGACTAATAAGGAGAAACCCCCTCTCTACTAAAAATACAAAATTAGCCAGGCGTGGTGGCGCATGCCTGTAATCCCAGCTACTTGAGAGGCTAAGGCAGGAGAATTGCTTGAACCCAGGAGGTAGAGGTTGCGGTGAGCTGAGATTGCACCATTGCACTCCAGCCTGGGCAACAAGAGCGAAATTCCATCTCGAAAACAAAAACAAAAAACAAAAATTAGCCGGGCATGGTGGTGGGCACCTGTAATCCCAGCTACTCGGGAGGCTGAGGCAGGAGAATCGCTTGAACTCAGAAGGTGGAGGTTGCAATGAGCCAAGATCATGCCACTGCATTCGAGCCTGGGCAACAGAGTGAGACTGTCAAATAGATAGGTAGGTAGGCAGATCCATAGATCGATAGATAGATAGGTAGGCATGAGGTCCTAAGGGAGCAGAAAGAGTCACTTTATTAAACCTTCTGACTATTTAATAAGGTGACAAAGTGGGTAAGAGCCAGGTTTTTAAAATCTTTTAATAATTCCCTATTGTATCATGATTAGTTAATATTTGGCCAGTTTTTGAGATGGGATCTCACTGTGTCACTCAGGCTGGAGTGCGGTGGTGCGATCATGGCAGGAGAATTGCTTAAACCCAGAAGGTGGAGGTTGCAGTGAGCCGAGATGGCACCACTGCACTCCAGCCTGGGTGACAGAGCGAGACTGCGTCTCAAAAAAAAAAAAAAAAAAATTCACTATGCTTAGAGAGAAAATGTTCTGCGCAACTTTTGCACCTTACTTTTAAATATCCAAAGTGAACATTATTTGGGCCCACAAACACTTCTTTGCCCATACCCCAAGCGCGGCCATAGTCATACCTACCATCTTATTCCCCAGCCCTTTTTGATGTTTTGCACCCAGTCTCCCTTGTGCCAACACGTACCCTCTTGATTGTAATAAATGGAGCCCTGAAACAAATAATATCATCTTCATAACCATCAAACCTCACGACACAAACGCTTTGTCAAATGTAAGGATATCAACTTAAAAACTAGAACCTACACAGAGGTCAATGCCATATGTAAGCAAGACATATATCCTGTTATTTTTCTGTTTTGCTGTCAAGAAAATGGTAAAACTGCTACACAAGGGGAAATGAGATAATGTCACAAATCAATTTCTCCTTAATAAAGTGCCTTATTGGCCAGGCACGGTGGCTCACGTCTGTAATCCCAGCACTTTGGGAGGCCAAGGTGGGCGGATCACAAGGTCAGGAGTTCAAGATCTGCCTGGCCAACATGGTGAAATCCCGTCTCTACTAAAAATACAAAAATTAGCCGGGTGTGGTGGCACACGCCTGTAATCCAGCTACTTGGGAGACTGAGGCAGGAGAATCGCTTGAACCTGGGAGACAGAGGTTGCAGTGATCCCAGATCGTGCCACACTGCACTCCAGCCTGGGCAATAGAGCGAGACTCCGCCTCAAAATAAAATAAAATAAAAAGTGTCATATTACGGCACAGAATGACTGCACTCATCATATTCAAGTCTATTCATTATATCCAGTAACTATTAGTCAATTAAGTACCTAAAGAAATCCTGTCTGTTGCCACTTGGAGTGAACAGTTGAGCCTTCCATGTAACGGAAGGTCACTCTCTCCTAGGCACCAGAACCATTGTTGTTTTAGCCATTTGGACATCCTACTCATTTTACTGCCTCCAAGTGTAAGTGAGCATAGTGTACCCTTTGTTTGATCTACACTGAAAAGCCTCAGAAGGCTTTTTCACAGGTTTATCTGTGTGTGTGAGAGACAGAAACAGAGAGAGAATGTTTCTATCTTCTCTCTCACGATCAGGCAAACTCATTCCTTCCTGCAGCCATTCAGATGCTGCTGTCTGGAAGTCACTGTGCCCAATCCCTCCAATATGGCTCAAGCAATCTGTGTAAGCTAACACACACACACACACACACACATAACAACAACACAACTCAATAAATAGCCTATTAAAGCCTGCATATGTCCAGGCACAGTGGCGCACGCCTGTAATCCCAGCACTTTGGGAGGCCAAGGCGGGTGGATCACTTGAGGTCAGGAGTTTGAGACCATCCTGGCCAACATGGCAAAACCCTGTCTCTACTAAAAATACAAAAACTAGCTGGGCGTGGTGGTGCACACCTGTAGTCCCAGCAACTCGGGAGGCTGAGGCAGGAGAATTGCTTGAACCCAGGAGGCGGAGGTTGCAGTGAACTGAGATCGCGCCACTGCACCCCAGCCTCGGTGACAGACTCCCTCTCAAAAAAAAAAAAAAAAAAAATTAATAAAATGCTTAATTTACACGATGTGAATTTCACCTCAATAAACAAAAAGTGAATATGCCCTGGACAGCGCCGCTAGCCCCTACCCCCTTCTGTCTCCATGTGGCCGCCCAGCCCCTCCCCTGCCCTCCACGGAGCCACTGCACTCCACCTCCCGCCCACCTTCCCATGCCGCCTGCCATTGCACCAGTGGCCGATGTAGGACACGCGCTGGGTGCTGCACTTGAACATCCCGAACCCGTTCCTCATGCCGTTGACCACTTCGCCTTCGTACATGCTGCCGTCCGGCCACGTGTACACGCTGTGGTTCATTGGGACGTTCTTCACAAAGTCGCCCTGAAGCAGAACGGCCATGGGGTGACAGAAGGAAGCGCTGGGGGCGGGGGCGGGAATCCCTAGTCCTGTGGGCGGTTCCAGGAGCTGCCTGACCTCTGACTCTGTTCTTGCCTCTCTTGTGGACACGCACTGAACATCCCCCTCGCATTCTCTCTCTTCCTTGTCTGCATTTCCCATCCTCTCTCATCCGACCCGACCACTGGGCGGAAGCTCAGGCAGGAGGAAATACCTGGGAGTTTGCAGGTCGACCCAGCTCGAAGGAGCGAGCAGGTGACGTTGGAAAGTCACTGGCTTCCAATCCTGACCCGGGGAACTTCGAATTCTTAGAACCCACCTTGGCAGGGCACAGTGGCTCACGCCTGTAATCACAGCACTTTGGGAGACCGTGGGGGGAGGACTGCTTGAGGCCAGGAATTTGAGGCCAGCCTGGGCAATGTAGGGAGACCCGTCTCTAGAAAAATATTTTATTTATTTAATTTGTTTTTGTTTTTATTTTTGAGACAGAGCTCACTCTGTTGCCCAGACTGGAGTACGATGGTGCCATCTCGGCTCACTGCAACCTCTGCCTCCTGGGTTCAAGCAATTCTCCTGCCTCAGCCTCTAAAGTAGCTGGGATTACAGGCGCCCACCACCACGCCCTGCTGATTTTTTTGTATTTTTAGTACAAATGGGGTTTTGCCATGTTGGCCAGGCTGGTCTCGAACTCCTGAGCTCAGGTGTTCCATCCGCCTCAGCCTCCCAAAGTGCTGGGATTAACAGGCGTGAGCCATCATGCCCGCCTTTTTTTTTTTTCTTTTTTTTTTTTTTTTTTTTTTGAGAGGGAGTCTGGCTCTGTGGCCCAGGCTGGAGTGCAGTGGCCAGATCTCAGCTCACTGCAAGCTCCGCCTCCCGGGTTTACGCCATTTTCCTGCCTCAGCCTCCCGAGTAGCTGGGACTACAGGCGCCCGCCACCTCGCCCAGCTAGTTTTTTTTTTGTATTTTTTTAGTAGAGACGGGGTTTCACCGTGTTCGCCAGGATGGTCTTGATCTCCTGACCTCGTGATCCGCCCGTCTCGGCCTCCCAAAGTGCTGGGATTACACGCTTGAGCCACGGCGCACGGCCTTTTTTTTTTTTTTTTTTTTTTTTTTGAGACAGGGTCTCACTCTGTCACCTAGGTTGGAGTGCAGCGGCACAATCACAGCTCACTGCAGCCTCGACCTCCTGAGCTCAAGTGATCCTCCCACCACAGCCCCCCAAATAGCTGCACTACAGGCGTGTGTGTGCCACAAGCCTCACTAATTTTTAAATATTTTGTGGAGATGGGGTTTCTCTATGTTGCCCAGGCTGGTCTGGTCTCAAACTCCCAGCCTCAAGTGATCCTCCCACCTTGGCCTCCCAAGTAGCTGGGACTACAGGTTCGTGCCACCAAGGTGCAGTGGTGCACGCCTATAATCCCAGCACTTTGGGGGTGCTGAGGTGAGAGGATCTGTTGAGCCCAGGAGGTTGAGGCTGCAGTGAACTATGACCACTGCATTCCAGCCTGGGCGACAAAGCAAGATCCTGTGTCTAATGGAGGAAAAAAAAAAAAAAAACCCCGCTGGAAGGAAGTGAATTCACTGTTCCCTCCAGGCTTAGTGATGACTGGGGAAGTCCCTCTTTCTTTTTTTCCCCAAGAGGGAGGATTGCTCTTGTTGCCCAGGCTGAGTGCGATGGTGCAGTCTCGGCTCACTGTAAACTTTGCCTCCCAGGTTTGAGCAATTCTCCCACCTCAGCCTCCCGAGTAGCTGGGATTACTGGCGCCCACCACCACGCGCAGCACATTTTTGTAGTTTTAGTAGAGACGGGGTTTCACCATATTGGCCAGGCTGGTCTCAAACTCCTGACCTCAGGTGATCTGCCTGCCTCGGCCTCCCAAAGTGCTGGGATTACAGGCATGAGCCACCGCACCCGGTCAGACAATCCCTCTTTCTGCCACAGGTCATCAAAATATTCTGTAAACAAGTCAGTCAACAGCCTGCCCCAGGGGCACCTGCTAGGGAACCCGCTCTGCCCAGGACATCTGAGTGGGCAGCAGGCAGCACCTGCACACCACGCAGCAGCGTCGGGTCCTCTTCCAGGAACCCGAACTCCCTGGAGGCAGCCAAGTCAGCAGAGAAAAGGGGCAGCACAGCCTGGCCTGACCACTAGCCAGGACCCATGAGGCCAGCCGGCCTCTGAGGATGCTTCTAGGAGACCCCGGAGTCCTGCCCAGAAGCCCCCGACTGCGCTGGAGTGGGGATCTGTGCCTGCAAAAAACGACCTCCCCACCTGCCGAGAGTTTCCCGAGACAATGAGGCACAGGGGGGTTCTTGGTAAATCGCCATTTAAAGACCAGAAATTGGCCCGGCGCGGTGGCTCACGCCTGTAATCCCTGCACTTTGGGAGGCTGAGGTGGGCAGATGACCTGAAGTCAGGGGTTTGAGACCAGCCTGGCCAACATGGCGAAACCCCATCTCTACTAAAAATACAAAAATTAGCCGGGCGTGGTGACGCGTGTCTGTAATCCCAGCTACTCTGGCAGGAGAATTGCTTGAACCCAGGAGGTGGAGGTTGCGGTGAGCCGAGATCCCGCCACCGCACTCCAGCCTGGGCGACAGAGCAAGACTCTGTCTCAAAAATAAAATAAAATAAATAGAATAAAATAAGGACCAGAAACCTTGCATGTCAGTCGCTGTCCCATGGGAAGGGAGCTGGCATGAATCCAAGGTGGGGGCCCAATCCTCAGGCTCCCCTGGAACTTGGAGATCCTCCTCGCCCCGCCAGTGAGGGCCAGTCCCTCCCCCTCTCTCCCTGCTCCTCTCACCGCCCAGCTGCAGTTGGCTTCCCGGCCCAAACTTGACTCCATCATTGCCTGGGTGTTATTTGAATAAGTGCATTATGCGCATGTGTTTTAAATGTCATCATTACCATTTATAAACACCATCTGTTAGCAACTCTGCATTTGAGAATTTTAGAATAGCATTTCAGGCGCTCACTCACTTTGTGGGTGGGAATTGAGCCTGGTACAATCCCTTGGAGAACAATTTGGTCCTTGCAGTCCGTTTAAAAATACACATTCTCCTCAACCCTGCAAGACAGGTGAAATGAACGCCACATAATGGAATACACGCAGCCAGTAAAAACAGATCTGCATCCATGGATATGGTTTCATCTCAAAATTAAAGGTACAGGCCAGGTGCGGTGGGTCACGCCTATAATCCCCAACACTGGGAGGCCGATGTGGGAGGATCGCTTAAGCCCAGGAGTTCGAGACCAGCCTGGGCAACACAGCAAGACCCTGTCTCTAAAAAAAAAAAAAAAAAAGTAAAAATAAATTAGCCGGGCGCCGTGGAGCACACCTGTAGTCTCAGCTACTCAGCAGGCTGAGCTGAGAGGATCGCTTGAGCCTGGGAGTTTGAGGCTGCCGTGAGTCATGATCTCACCACTGCACTTCAGCCTGGGTGACAGAGCAAGACCCCATGTCAGATTAACTAAGTAAATGTGCCAAAGAGAGTGTGTAATAAACTGTGTGTGTGTGTGAAAAGCAAGACAGGCTACAGAAGGTCCAGGCTGCCGTGAGTCATGATTGCACCACTGTACTCCAGCCTGGGCAGAACAGCAAGACTCTGTCTCCAAAAAAAAAAAAAAAGTAGGACAAGCTGCATACATATTTGTGTGCTCTCTGTGCTGAGAAGGCGTGGAATACCTCTAGAACACACAAATGGAACCAGTAACAATTCCTTCTGGGTCCGGTGCTGTCATGAATTACTAGATCCTCTGGTTTTGTGAATTTCTCTTAACCTATATGCTGAATTACATCCACGAAAACAGTCTGTTCAATTGTGGGAAACTGATTGTTCCATCCAACAATCACAGTTTAGAACTATAACTGGTTATATGCCTCACCTCGCATTTTAATCCATCGGCCCAAATATAAGTCCCTTGTCCATGCATGAGTCCTTCTGAAAACATACCCTTCAAAACAAAGCAACGACAAATGCTTAGAATGCAGCTGACATTTGAGAAGGGGTCTGGTTCTGTCACCCAGGCTGGAGTGCAGTGGTGTCATCATAGCTCACTACAGCCTCAACCTCCCAGGCTCCAGCAATCCTCCCACTTCAGCCTCCCGAGTAGCTGGGACTACAGGCATCCACCACCATGCCCAGCTAGTTTTTGTATTTTTTGTAGAGACGGGATTTCACTGTGTTGGCCAGGCTGGTCTTGCAATCCTGAGCTCAAGCAACACGCCCACCTTGGCCTCCCAAAGTGCTGGGATTATAGGCAGGAGCCACCGCGCCTGGCCGGCCGCTGATGATGGTCTCCCACAGCTGCCTTATCCCAGTTTCCCGTGTGTGAAGATGCTTGTCTGCGCACTCAGCAGCAGCTGCGTCCTACTGAGTCCTACTTTGAGCTGGCTCCACGCTGGGATCCATCCTTCTCTAAAAAGGATCTAAGAGGTCCTCATCTTCATGACCTAAGGATGACCTCAGCTACAAAAATGTGTTCTCAACTGGGTGTGGGGGCTCACACGTGCAATCCCAGCACTTTAGGAGTCTGAGGCAGGAGGATCACTTGTGCCCAGGAGTTCAAGACCAGCCCTGGCAACACAGCAAGTCCTTGTCTCTACCAAGAAAAAAAAATTTAATTAGCCAGGCGTGGTAGTGCACGCCTGTAGTCTCAGCTATTCAAGAGGCTGAGGAGGGAGGATCCTTTGACTCCAGGAGGTCAAGGCCACAATGAGCTATGACTGTGCCACTGCACTCCAGCTTGGATGACAGTGAGACCCTGTCTCAAGAAAAAATAAAATAATCAGGAAAAGAAACAAATCTAAAATAACTTGTATTATACTGAGCATTGTAATCAGGGTTCAGAATAAAATCAGCATGAAGAGCTTCCAATTTCTTTTGAAGCGTCAGTGGATTTTACTGAAGATTTGCAAATCTCTGACCATCACCCCACACCTTCCTCCCCCTCCTGCAGGTTCTCAAACGCGCAACTCACACGATAGGTACAACCGCCTTGAAAGACTGCGAAGCCTTTTCCCTCGTACAGCCCACGAACCTTCTCCCCTTCATAGCTACAGAGAAATAAAGGGAATTCAAGGTAATGAACAATGTGAATACACCCAGGTGACAGTGGGTTAAAATATATAACTACGTAATGGGAAGAATGAAGTCGAAAATATACACACACACACACACACACACACACACACACACACACAGCTAGAAAGTGGAATAGGTCACCAGGGGTTTCAAGGTGGGATGAGGAATGAAAGAGTTTGGGGTTTTGTGTTTTGTTTTGTTTTGTTTTTTTTCGGGTTTTATTTCGAGACGGAGTTTCACTCTGTCATTCAGGCTGGAGTACAGTGGCGTGATCTCGGCTCACTGCAAACTCCGCCTCCCGGGTTCAAGTGATTCTCCCGCCTCAGTCTCCTGAGTAGCTGGGATGACAGGCGCATGTCACCATGCCCAGCTAATTATTGTGTTTTCAGTAGAGAGGGGGTTTCACCATGTTGGCCAGGCTGGTCTCAAACTCCTGACCTCAAGTGATCCACCCACCTCAGCCTCCCAAAGTGCTTGGATTACAGGCTTGAACCACTGGACCTGGCCTGGAGTTACTATTTAATAGATGGTTGTACAATACTGTGAATGTACTTAATGCCATTGAATTGCACACTTAAAATCATTAAGATAGTACATTTTGTTATATATGTTTCACCACAATAAACTCTCTCTATATATATATGCCATGGGGCTCTACATTTGCCACTTGAGTGATGGGCTTACTAGAAGCCCAAATCTTAGCATCACACAACATGCCCTTGTAACCTGCACATGTAAACCCCTAAATCCAAAATACAATAATTTTTTTTTTTTTTTTGAGACGGAGTCTCGCTCTGTCACCCAGGCTGGAGTGCAGTGGCTGGATCTCAGCTCACTGCAAGCTCTGCCTCCCGGATTTACGCCATTCTCCTGCCTCAATCTCCCGAGTAGCTGGGACTACAGGTGCCCGCCAACATACCCAGCTAATTTTTTTGTATTTTTTAGTAGAGACGGGGTTTCACCGTGTTAGCCAGGATGGTCTCGATCTCCTGACCTCGTGATCCGCCCATCTCGGCCTCCCAAAGTGCTGGGATTACAGGCTTGAGCCACCGTGCCCAGCCCAATAATTTTTTTAAATACATAAAATTACCTTCAGGCCAGGCACAGATTATGTCTGTAATCCCAGCAGTTTGGGAGGCTGAGGCAGGTGGCTTACCTGAAGTCAGGAGTTCGAGACCAGCCTGGCCAACATGGTAAAACCCCGTCTCTACTAAAAGTACAAAAATTAGCTGGGTGTGATGCTGGGCGTCTGTAATCTCAGCTACTCAGGAGGCTGAGGCAGGAGAATTGCTTGAACACGGGAGGCGGAGGTTGCAGTGAGCCATGATCGCACCACTTCATTCCAGCCTGAACGACACAGTGAAACTCCGTCTCAAAATAAAATAAAATACACTGCCTGACTGGCAGTGTGATACCCTATGGCACCCCCATTAAAATCACCTCTCCACGATGAGTTTGGTCAGAATGGACTCTTCGTATTGGGTGGCATCTTCATTCTGCTGAACGTTTCGGGGGTCTTTTTTGGGTTTCGCTTCGTTAAGCTGCATTCCCAGCAACGGGACGCCAGCTGGGGACATCTCTTGCCTAGTGGTGTTGCCATCTTGTTTGGGAAAGTCTAGATTATCAGAGAGAGATGAGGGAGAGCGGGCCGACTTGTTCCCTCTTTTGTCTGTTTCTTTCTTTTCTTTCACCATTGCCTTGGGAAGATCCAATGGTTACTTGAATCAAATGATTCCTTTGGTTCAGAGCTGCTCGTTTCAAAGCACTGATGAGTTTTATCTGAAAAATAAAAATTACATCTCCAAACACTTGGGGTTTTCATTTGTAGTTAAAATTTTAGTTTTACAACACAATGTCATTATCATTCCCCTGCCAAAGTCTGAAAAATTAGTTATCAGGGCCGGGTGTGGCGGCTCACACCTGCAATCTCAGCACTTGGGGGAGGCCGAGGCGGGAGGATCATGAGTCCAGGAGGTCGAGATCAGCCTAGGCAACGTAGTGAGACGCCCCTTCTGTAAAAAAATAAAAATAAATTAGCCAGGCGTGGTGGCACATGCCTGTAGTCCCAGCTACTCGGGAGGCTCAGGTGGGAGGACTGCTTGAGCCTGGGAGGTCGGGAGATCACACCACTGCACTCCAGTCTAACAGAGCAAGACTCTGTCTCAAAAATCATAATAATTACAAGTTTCAAGCACCATCAGTTTATAAATATACAACCTCAACACTGCATTGGTTGTTCCCAAACTTTTTTTTTTTTTTTTTTTTTGAGACGGAGTCTCGCTCTGTCGCCCAGGCTGGAGTGCAGTGGCCGGATCTCAGTTCACTGCAAGCTCCGCCTCCCGGGTTTACACCATTCTCCTGCCTCAGCCTCCCGAGTAGCTGGGACTACAGGCGCCCGCCACCTCGCCCAGCTAGTTTTTTGTATTTTTTAGTAGAGACGGGGTTTCACCGTGTTAGCCAGGATGGTGTCGATCTGCTGACCTCGTGATCCACCCGTCTCGGCCTCCCAAAGTGCTGGGATTACAGGCTTGAGCCACCGCGCCTGGCCCCAGACTTTTTTTATTTTTGAGACAGAGTCTCACTCTGTCACCCAGGTTGGAGCACAGTGACACAATCACGGCTCACTGCAGCCTCAATCTCCCATGCTCAGGCAATCCTTCCACCTCAGCCTCCCAAGAAGCTGGGACCACAGGCATGCATCACCACACCTGGCTAATTTTTTGTAGAGACAGGGTCTTTCTATGTTGCCCCAGCTGGTCTGGAACTCCTGAGCTCAAGCAATCCACCTGTCTCAGCCACCCAAAGTGCTGGGATTATAGGTCTGAGCCACTGCACCTGGCCCTAAAAATTATTTAAGTTGGAACCATTGTCTAGCATGGTTTCTTGAAAGGTATCCCTACACATGAAAAAGGCTACTTAACCTCTCAGGTCTTGCATGCAGCCAATTCACACTTTAAAAGCCCCTCTCCCGCCGGGTGGTAGCTCATGCCTGTAATCCCAGCACTTTGGGAGGCCGAGGTGGGCAGATCACGATGTCAGGAGATCAAGACCACCCTGGCTAACACGCTGAAACCCCATCTCTACTAAAAATACAAAAAATTAGCCAGGCATGGTGGCACATGCCTGTAATCCCAGCTACTCAGGAGGCTGAGGCAGGAGAATCTCTTGAACCTAGGAGGTGGAGGTTGCAGTGAGCCGAGATCATGCCACTGCACTCCAGCCTGGGCAACAGAGTGAGACTCTGTCTCAAAAAAAAAAAAAAAAAAAAAGCCCCTCTCCTTATAGGTCAGCATTGTAAAGTGTGCAAGAGCTGGATTCAGGGTCCTGCACTGTCCATTACCAGTTCTGTGGTTTTTTGCGCAGGCTGGAGTGCAGTATCGCTATCTCGGCTCACTGCAACCTCTGCCTCCTGGGTTCACGCCATTCTCCTGCCTCAGCCTCCTGAGTAGCTGGGACTACAGGCACCCGCCACCACGCCCGGCTAATTTTTTTTGTACTTTTAGTAGAGACAGGGTTTCACCGTGTTAGCCAGGATGTTCTCAATTTCCTGACTTGGTGATCCGCCCGCCTCAGCCTCCCAAAGTGCTGGGATTACAGGCGTAAGCCACTGGGCGTGGGCGCCTGGCCCACTTCTGTGTGTGGGTTTTTTTTTTTGTTTTTTGTTTTTTTCCCAGACAGAGTCTAGCCCTGTCATCCAGGCTGGAGTGCAGTGGCAAGATCTCAGCTCACTGCAACCTCCGCCTCCTGGGTTCAAGTGATTCTCCTGCTTCAGCCTCCTGTGTAGCTGGGATTACAGGCGCCTGCCCCGACACTCAGCTAATTTTATTTTTAGTAGAGATGGGGTTTCACTGCGTTGGTCAGGCTGGTCTCAAACTCCCGACCTTGTGATCTGCCCACCTTGACCTCCCAAAGTGCTTGGATTACAAGCGTGAGCTTGTAACCCACCGGTTTTCTTTTCTTTCTTTTTTTTTTTTTTTTTTTGAGATGGGGGTCTTGCTACGTTTTGCCCAGGCTGATTTCGAACTCCTGGCCTCAAGCAATCTTCCCACCTTCTCCTCCCAAAGTGCTAGGATTGCAGGCATGAGCCACTGAGCTCGGTCAAGTGCTGTGTTCTAAAGCAAGTTGCTTAATCTCCTCTGCCTCACAAATAGAAATAACAGTACCTTGTATCATAAGAATTAAATCGATGACACACAGAAAAATCCCTAAGTACAGGGTACAGAGTAAAGTCAATAAATTGAGTGATTATCTCGTCCCTTTCCTGTTTTCAAACTTGAAATCATTGGATTCCTACTCCCTCTAGCACTGCCATCGATTGAGCGCCTCTCATATGCGAGACAAGCAAGGAACCGTGTGCTGGAGTGGCGTGTCCAGCGCATCGTTGCTTGAGCTGTATTTCCAGTGCGTCGTTGCTCGAGCTCCGTTTCCAGCGCATATCTTTGCTTGTCTGGCATATGAGCTGTGGTGCAGGGTTTCAAAGCCATAGTTCACGACTTTCCTAATCTGGCCCCACCGAAAGCACCCTGGTCCATCAGGCAGGATGCATAGGTGAGCCATGTGGTGAAGGCCAGGTCTCGTCCCTTTTCATAGGCCCGACGGCTGCAGTGAGCCCTTCTTGCCCTCTTCTTCCTGGATGCCATCCTCTGGCCACCCCAGCCTCCAGCTGAACCCACCTCCAGCCTTCTCTCTTCCTCCATTATTTATTTACGGAGACAGGGTCTCGCTCTGTCCCCCGGCTGGAGTGCAGTGGTGCAATCTCGGCTCACTGCCACCTCCGCCTCCCAGGTTCAAGTTATTCTCCTGCCTTAGCCTCCCAAGTAGCTGGGATTACAGGCGCCCGCCACCACTCCCGGCTAATTTTTGTATTTTCAGTAGAGACGGGGTTTCACCATGTTGGCCAGGCTAATCTCGAACTCCTAACCTCAGGTGATCCTCCCGCCTCGGCCTCCCAAAAGTGCTGGGATTACAGGCCTGAGCCACCGGGCCCAGCCAAGCTTTCTCTCTTCCTTCAAACACTACCTTGCTCCTTCACACCCCCGACCACTGTCTCAGTGAAGCTGCAGTTGGGTCACCTAGCCCAAGCTGCTCTCACCTCTAAATTTAGAGGGGCCTTTACTACGAGCTTTCCTTTTTTTTTTTGAGACAGAGTCTTGCTCTGTCACCCAGGCTGGAGTGCAGGGGCCGGATCTCAGCTCACTGCAAGCTCGGTCTCCCGGGTTTACGCCATTCTCCTGCCTCAGCCTCCCGAGTAGCTGGGACTACAGGCGCCCGCCACCTCGCCCGGCTAGGTTTTTGTATTTTTTAGTAGAGAAGGGATTTCACCGTATTAGCCAGGATGGTCTCGATCTCCTGACCTCGTGATCCGCCCGTCTCGGCCTCCCAAAGTGCTGGGATTACAGGCCTGAGCCACTGCGCCCGGCCAAGCTTTCTCTCTTCCTTCAAACACTACCTTGCTCCTTCACACGCCCGACAACTGTCTCAGCGAAGCCGCCCCTGGGTCACCTAGCCCAAGCTGCTCTCACCTCTAAATTTAGAGGGGCCTTTACTACGAGGTTTACGGTCCTCTGTCAGTGACCTACAAATAAGTGAACTACAAATCAAGCCAATTTCGTTTCTCAGTGCGTGTTTCCTAATGTTTCCTCTGTTCTCCTGGGCTTAAGGAGAGGCCATCTCTCTCCCCTGTCTACGGTGAGGCGGGAAGAACGGGCTCCCTGCACTGGTCGGCCCGGCCTAGGCCCTCCTCGCCCATCACGCACGTGCTCGGGTCCTGGGAGGCCGCGTCAGTCCGGCCGGCCGGGAAGGAGCAGGACCCGGTCGCCACCGCTGTCCCGACTACGCATGACCGCGGCCTGGGGCGCCCACCTCGCTCCAGGAGCCCAGAGGCCTCGCCGGGCTCCAGCGAGGTGTTGCAGGGCTCTCCGCGTCCCAGAGCCGGCTCTGGTCTCCAGGCAACCGCGGACGCCACCTGGCGCGGCCTGTGCTCTTAAAGGGGCCGCGCGCCAGCGCCAAGTAGGTGTCCCGCCCTTGCTGGTCCTGAGGGCCTAGGGGAAAGGCTGAGCGCTGCAGGCAGCAGGCCAGGGGTTTCCCAGCTCTGCTATCTGCTTCTTCATAAAATAGGAATAACGCAGGCCTTAGTTTTCCCATTGCTGCCGTAAACAAATTACCAAAAATTTAGTGGCTTGAAGCAACACAAATTTATTATCCTACAGTCTGTAAACTAGGCCCACAGTGCTGGTTCCTTCCAGAGGCTCCGGTGAAGCATCCGTTTCCTTGCCTTTTCCAGCTTTTCCAGAAGCGGTCCCCAACCTTTTTGGCACCAGAGACCGGTTTCACAGAAGGCAATTTTTCCACGGATGGGGGTAGGGAATGGTTTCAGGATGATTCAAGCGCATTGCATTTACTGTGCATTTTATTTCTATTATTATTACATTGTAATATATAATTAATTCTACAACTCACCATCATAGACTCAGTGGGAGCCTGAGCTTGTTTTCCTGCAACTAGACGGTCCTATCTGGGGGTGATGGGAGAAAGTGACAGATCATCAGGCATCAGATTCTCTTAAGGAGTGTGCAACCTACATCCCTCGCGTGTGCAGTTCACAATAGGGTTTGTGCTCCTATGAGAATCTAATGCCCACCGCTGATATGACAGGAGGTGGCGCTCAGGTGGTAACACCAGCCATGGGGACTGGATCTAAATACAGATGAAGTTTCGCTGGCTTGCCTGCCCCTAACCTGCTGTGCGCCCTGGTTCCCAACAGGCCATGGACCACTACTGGTCTGTGGCTGGAGTGCTGGAATCCCTGTTCCAGAGGCTGCTTGCAATCCTTGACTAGTGGTACCTCTTTCCATCTCCAAAACCAGCAAGGCTGCCTCTCTCTGGCCAGCAGGGAAAGGTCTCCACCTTCAAAGGACTCACCCAATGGACTGGGCCCACCCAGACAATCCAGGATAATCTCTCTACTGCAAGATCCTTAACTCAGCCAGGCAGTATGGCTCACACCTGTAATCTCAGCACTTTGGGAGGCCGGGGCAGGTGGATCACCTGAGGTCAGGAGTTCAAGACCAGCCTGGCCAGCATGCAACACGGTGAAACCCTGTCTCTACTAAAAATACAAAAATTAGCCAGCTGTGGTTGTGAGCACCTGTAATCCCAGCTACTCAGGAGGCTGAGGTGGGAGAATCACTTCAACCTGGGAGGCAGAGGCTGCAGTGAGCTGAGATCACGCTATTGCACTCCAGCCTGGGCAACAGGAGCAAAACTTCAAAAAAAAAAAAATTCTTCAATCACACCTGCCAAGTCCCTTCTGCCATGTGAGGCAGCCTGGTCACAGGTTCTGGGGATTAGGACACAGCTGTCTTGGGGGCTGTAATCCTGCCACAGCTGCCAGTCTGCAGAGTTTGTAAGTGGGATCCTGCAGACGCCAGCACAGTGCCAGACACGATGGCACAGTTACTACTGTACTGCCTCCTCCATCCAAGGGATTCTGAAGCAGGAAGGGGAGCCCTCTCTTCCTTGAAGCCCAGTCTGGGGAAGGGGTGGGGCAGCGGGGGAGTCACATCCATCCTCACTGGGCCCCCAAGAGGACATCTTTACTTCCATTTTCAGCCCAGTTCAAACAGGACAAGGTTCCATGAAAACGACTTGAAAAGACAGACAGGGATTCTTATATTCCCAGAACCACTCAAGGCCAGTAACTGGAATGTTCTATAGTTCACACCCTGAGGAACCAAATCACAGCATCAAATTATGGGAAAATCAAACTCTTTTTGCTCCCCTGCGAGGACAGCACTTTGCTACCTTGGCCGCACAGAGGAATGTTTAAAAATAATGACCCCTGTCCCATCCAGTCATTGTCTTCCAGCCAGGCAGAGAATCCCCCTTGTTTAAAAATTTAATGTGAATCAGGACTGAGAATCACTAACCCAAAAGGACCCTAATTTTAAATTTATGAAATTAAACAAAGATGAATTTAATTATTGTTAAGGGTTGAAAGTTATACACTAAACTATGTCCAGCCAGAGCAGAGGACTGAGTGACTTCCACAGCGGTTTGTTTTGAGACGACGTCTCACTCTGTCGCCCAGGTTGGAATGCAATGGCACGATCTTGGCTCACTACAACCTCCATCTCCCGGGTTCAAGAGATTCTCCTGCCTCAGCCTCCCGAGTAGCTGGGATTACAGGCATGCGCCACCACTCCTGGCTAATTTTGCATTTTTAGTAGAGGAGGGGTTTCTCCATGTTGGTCAGGCTGGTCTCAAACTCCTGACCTCAGGTGATCCGCCTGCCTCCGCCTCCCAAAGTGCTGGGATCACAGGCATGAGCCACCACGCCCGGCCCAAGTGTTCTTATTTTTATAAAATATGTTCCTGCCTGGATACACACACACACACACACACACACACACACACACACACACACGAGCGCATGCAAACAGAGAAAAAAAATTTGCAAGCAATGCTCCATCTGGTTTGAAAAGGTTCTCAAGATCACTTTTAAATGGGTCTGATGTGTATTTTTTTTTTTTAAGTAGCAGGTTCATTTGAAAACAAAAAAGGTTAGTGAAGACCCTGTCTTTCAAAACATAAAAATCTGCAATAAAACCGATGATTCCATACAGTGACTACTGTCAGTTCTGCGAAATGACACCCAGGTTGGCTACGTGTCTCATGGTTGGCCTTCCATGGGGACAGTTTCAGGGGTGGTCCATGTGGGTGATCAGTTTCTTTATCTCGCTTGTGTTAAGAGCAGTTCCAATCATCACCTGAGGACGAGACACAATGGTTCAACGTTTTAAAAGTTTTTTTGACATCAGAATGGCAGTTCTTCAGAAGCACTGTTGTCTAAAATGAGACTGGACAAGATTAGAGCTCAAAAATCACCTTCTCTGAAAAACCTTCCCCCAGAGAAGCCTAGGTTCTAGATCTCAGCCCTCCACCTTTCTGTGACATCAGGTCCCTTGTGGCTGCTTCGAGGTGGCACCGCCTCCACTCGACACGACCACACCTGTCCCGAACGCAGCCACTCTCAGCGGCCACCCTGCCCTCTTGCCCTGGCAGGTGCAGCAGCCTCCCAGCTGGGCTCCCCGCCCCACTGCGAGCCCTCCGAGCTGGTCTCCACCCAGCAGCCAGTGATTACGTCTAAAGCGCTGTCAGGTCATGTCGTTCCGCTCCACGGCTTCCCCCTCACCTGAACAAAAGCCCCCGTCTGTCCCTGACTTGGCCCTCACTGGGCTGTGCCTGCACCCCCACCTCCAAGCACGAATGCCTCCCTTCCTCACCCCAGCTGCACTGCTACTCCCTTCCTCTTGCACATCAAGCAAACACCTGCCTCAGGGCTGCGGCACTGCCGGGACCCTCTCCCCCAGTGGGTGCAGGCGTCACTCCCCCTCTGTTGAGCTCCACCCTGCTGCCCTGGCAGGGTACTCTAGCCCTGGCCCTGCTGCCTCCCTGCCATGGGTCCTCTGACAGGAAGGAGAGGAGACAAGCCTGAAGCGCTCTGTCGCCTCCCTTCTTCCTGTAGCACCGAGGGCTCGCCATGTGCCAAGCACAGTCGGAAAGCGGCGACAGCAGTGACAGCAGTGACGGCAGGGTTCCACCAGGTCGGAGGAGGACAGATAACCAACAAGTCAACAGAGAACCAAGACAGACGGCGCCCAGGAGAGGGGGCCTGCTCAGGTGTGGGGAGGGGGTGAAGGGTGAAGGTGGCAAACCCAGGTAGAGAGGAGCGTAGGGAGAACAGGTGTAAGGCGGGGAGGAGACTGGGCGAGTGTGGAACTGGAAGGCGGCTACATGGCTGGAAGCGTGGTGGGGAGGAGATGGGGCTGGAAGGGTGGGCAGGGCTCAGAGCAGGGGCCTCGTGGGCAGGCAGTGACAACACCGGAGACGGAAGAGTAGGCCAGGGTGGGAGGGAAGCAGCAGCCTGTGGTTCCCCGGGCCCCGAGTCACACTAAAGACTCAGGACGTCAAAACTGACCAGCTGTGAGCTCAGCGCCACACTCTCACTCACAGACGCCAAGACTGGAAGGTCCATATTAGGTCTTGTTTTTTTTGCGAGGCAGGGGGTGGTGGGAAACCCTGTTGCCCAGGCTGGAGTGCAGCAGTGTGATCTCGGCTCACTGCACCTCCGCCTCCATGATTCAAGCAATTCTCCCGCTTCAGCCTCCCGAGTAGCTGGGATTACAGGTGCTCGCCACCACACCCTGCTAATTTTTGTACTTTTAGTTGGGGTGGGGTTTCACCATGTTGGCCAGGCTGGTTTCAAATTCCTGACCCCAGGTAATCAACCCACTTCCACCTTCCAAAGTGCTGGGATTACAGGTGTGAGTCACTACACCCAGCCCATATTAGGTCTTTATCAAAGCAACACTGTGGCTAGAACTCAGACTCTGGGCCCTCTTCTAATTAAATTCTGCCTTTGAGTCATTTCATCTAATCTCATGGCTGTAAGTTACACCTGATGCTCCCACAGCAGGCTCCATCCCACCCACTCCCCACGTGGCCCCCAGCTGCTGCTCTCCCCAGCTGCCCCAGTCAAGGCACCCCTTCCAGTCTGTTCTCTCTCCAGCAGCTGCAATCATGGGACTCCTAGTCCGTTCTCTCCAGTGGCTCCCGCCACACACAGCACAGACCCCAGGGTCTAGGCATGACCGGCAATGCTCTACGTAGCTGTCCTCTGGTCGCCGCTCTGCTCACTCCCTTCCCCTCTCCAGGGACACAATCGGCCTCTGGCTTCAGTCTTCCTACTTCCTCCACTTGGAAAGTTCTTACCCAAGAGGGCTCCAGCCTACTTTTTTTTTTTTTGAGACAAGGTCTTACTCTGTCACCCAGGCTGGAGTACAGTTGCGTGATCTTGGCTCACTGCAACCTCGACCTCCCCGGCTCAAGTGATCCTCCCACCTCAGCCTCCTGAGTAGCTGCTGACTGCAGGCACCCGCCACCACGCCTGGCTAATCTTTTAATTTCCCCACCTTTTAGATGGCAGCTGAGATGCCACCTGCCCAGATGCCGTTCCCTGACCACCATCTCACCTGGTCACCATGTTTTTCTGTAGTTATCTCCTGTCCCAAAATGCTGTTTTAGGCTGAGTGTGGTGGCTCACGCCTGTAATCCCAGCACTTTGGGAGGCCCAGGCGGGCAGATCATGAGGTCAGGAGATCGAGACCAGCCTGACCAACACAGTGAAACCCCGCCTCTATTAAAAATATAAAAATTAGCCAGGTGTGACGGCACGCGCCTGTAGTCCCAGCTACTCTGGAGGCTGAGGCAGGCGAATCGCTTGAACCCGGGAGGCGGAGGTTGCGATGAGCTGAGATCACGCCACCACACTCCAGCCTGTTAGCAGAGCAAGACTCCGTCTCAAAAACAAACAAACAAACAAACAAAAGCACTGTTTGAATCTGTTGGCTGTGCTCACTGGCATCTAATGGGTGTCGTTTATTTGTGGTGATGTCTGTTTCTCCCCACTGTCCGCTCCACAGGGGCAGGGGCCGCAGCCGCCTTGTTACCTCTCTGTCCCCAGCGCCTGGAGCAGGGCGGCGCCACAGCAGGGGCTCAAGGAGCATCTGCTGAATAAGTAAAGGAATGGCATCCTGGCCTTTCCCAATGGCCAGCTGATACAGAGTCACTTTTCTTGGACATCAGGCTACTCCCCACTGCAGGCATAGCCCCTGCTACCACCTTCCAACACCAACCAGAGCAGCGGCAGTGGTGCCACGTGCAACGACAACCACAGCACCCCGTGAAGCACCTGCTGCCTCGATGACTCTGCAGAACCTTGTCTAATGTCGCCGAGTCCTGGCAGCAGCAAATCTTTATGTACTAGTGTTGTTAGGACCCCTAAGGTCCATAGACGAACAAGGAGCCTCAACCACTAACTGTGTTAGAGTCAACGAAAGCTCTGAGATAGAATACTGGCAGGCAACGGTGGCTCATGCCTGTAATTCCAGCACTTTGGGAGGCTAAGGCAAGGGGCAAAAGGAGACCATGTTTCTACAGAAAATTTAAACATTAGCTGGGCGTGGTGGTACGTGCCTGTAGTCACAGCTACTCGGAAGACAGAGGCAGGAGGAATGCTTCAGCCGGGGAGGTCAAGGCTACAGTGAGCTGTGATTGTGGCACTACACTCCAGCCTGGGCGACAGAGGGAGATCCCGTCTTAAAAAAAGAAAATACTTTTTTTTTTTTTTTCTTTGAGACACAGTCTCGCTCTGCTGCCCAGGCTGGAGTGCAGTCGTGTGAACTCGGCTCACTGAAGCTCCGCCTCCCAGGTTCTCACCATTCTCCTGCCTCAGCCTCCCAAGTAGCTGGGACTACAGGTGGCCACCACCACACCCGACTAATTTTTTTGCATTTTTTGGTAGAGATGGTGTTTCACCATGTCAGCCAGGATGGTCTCGATCTCCTGAACTCGTGATCCTCCCGCCTCGGCCTACCAAAGTGCTGGGATTAGAGGCTTGAGCCACCGCGCCCGGCCACGAATACTGTTTAACTGAGGTAACAAAAGAGCAATAAGTATGAGTTCAAGGTCCCAGAGAATGCAGACTACATAGATGCTCAGCTATGATGTTCCACGTAGCTCTGTGTAAAATGACTCCTGGCAATCACAAGGGCGTTTAACAGCCTTGACCAACTCAGGAGCTGGGCTGAGACCTTCCTCAGACTGCAAGCTGGAGCAGCTGAGCTGACAGCCGGGCTTTCTTTACTCACCGACTTCCGACAGGCTCTGGAGGCAAACATCTGCTTGACTTGGGACGGCCGGCACATGACCCCAGGGCTGTCGCTTAGCAAAAAGATCAGTTCATCGATGTCCTGGGGTCCGAAGGTCCAGTTTTTACTAGTTGGCAAGGAAATCAATTTAGCCCTTTCAGTCACTGGAGCTAAAAGAATACAATTTTGAGAAAAACCCATGACTTGAGAGACACATTTCACTTGAAAGCTACCTAGAGTGAACATCTGAGGCTGGACACGGTGGCTCACGCCTGTAATCCCAGCACTTTGGGAGGCCGAGGCGGGCGAATCATGAGGTCAGGAAATGGAGACCATCCTGGCTAACACAGTAAAACCCTGGCTCCAATTAAAATACAAAAAAAAAAAAAAATTAGCTGGACATGGTGGCGTATGCCAGTAATTCTAGCTACTCGGGAGGCTGAGGCAGGAGCATCGCTTGAACCAGGGAGTCAGAGGTTGCAGTGAGCCGGCATCACGCCACTGCACTCCAGCCTGGTGACACAGAGTGACTCCGTCTCAAAAAAAAAAAAAAATCTGCTCTATGAATACTTATGGAAAAATACATATATACATATACACATATAGACACACATATAAACTAATAAATCTCTTTTTTGAGATGGAGTGTCGCTTTGTTGCCCAGACTGGAGTGCAGTGGTGCGATCTCAGCTCACTGCAACCTCTGTCTCCCAGGTTCAAGCGATTCTCCTACCTCAGCCTCCTGAGTAGCTGGGACTACAGGCATGCACCATCAAGCCCAGCTAATTTTTTTATTTTTAGTAAAGACGAGGTTTCACCATGTTGGCCAGGCTGGTCTTGAACTCCTGACCTCAAGTGATCCACCTGCCTCGGCCTCCCAAAGTGCTGGGAATACAGGCGTGAGCCACCGCGCCCGGCCTACTTCATTCTTTTTAATGGCCGCATAGGAAGTCACTGCACGGATGTACCATAATTTGTCTGTCAAATTCCCAACTAAAGCACATTTCGATTGTTTCCAATTTCAATTGTGCACTCAAAGCTGCAACAAAGACTTCTGTGCATAAACCTGCTCATCTGTGGGTGCATTTCCGGGAGATAGACACTAGAGGGAGAATCACATATGTACTTTTTGATGGGAAATCTGAGAAAATGCACATTGCCACCAGTGGTGTCTAAGAGTATCTATTGGCCAATACTGGATATCAACCCTTCTAATCTCTGCCAGGCCGACCCCTGGGTCCTTTGCTGGGTGGCTTCAACATCTAATGTCATTAGATACTATCTTAGTCAATCCGGACAAAAGACAGACACCACCCCTAACCTTCACACGAGAAACTGACACTGTCACTCTCAGTCCCACATAAGTAAATGCGGTGAAAACGGATTTTCCACAGTATCAGTGCTGTAACTGTAAGAAATGACTCTGTTAAAGCAGACGTTTTAAAGCAGACTCTGTTAAACCATGGACGTTTTCTGGTTTTCACCTGGTGGCCTGAGCTGAGGATGAAAGGAGCTGAGATTAGGCCGGGCACGGGCCTGTAATCCCAGCACTTTGGGATTAATGCTCACGCCTGTAATCCCAGCACTTTGGGAGGCTAAGGTGGGCAGATCATTTGAGGTTGGGAGTTCAAGACCAGCCTGGCCAACATGGTGAAACCCTGTCTCTACTAAAAATAAAAGTATTAGCCGGGCGTGGTGGTGGGCACCTGTACTCCCAGCTACTTGGGAAACTAAGGCAGAAGAATAGCTTGAACCCAGGAGGCAGAGGTTGCAGTGAGCTGAGATCGTGCCAGTGCACTCCAACCTGGGTAAAAGAGCGAGACTCTGTCTCAAAAAAAAATAAAGGAGCTGATATTGTTGTTTCTTTCTGTAAGTGCTCCAGGAAGACCTGGTCCCATGTCACCATGCTCGTCACCATCACAATCAACCACAGGGGAGAGTCTGGTGAACTGTGAGACCTCCACATGGCATGGATTACTGAGCCCACATTTCCTATTGTGAGGGGCTCCACACAGAGCTCAAATCCAAGTCATAACCAAACCAATCCCCAAATCTTATCTTCGAGGGTCTGTCTCCTGGTACCAATTCCATATCAGTCAGGGTACAATCAAGAGACAAAAACCACACCAGCGATTTTAACAGGGATTCTTTTTTTAAAAAAAAAAAAGACAGGATCTTGCTCTGTCACCCAGGCTAGAGTACAATGGCATGGTCATAGCTCATTGCAGCCTCAAACTCCTGGGCTCAAGTGAGCCTCCTGCCTCAGCCTCCTGAGTACCTGGGACTACAGACGTGTAGCAGTGTACTTGGCTTTTTTCTTTAGAGATGGGGTCTCATTTTTTTTTTTAGAGATGGGGTCTCATTATATTGCCCAGGCTGGTCTCAAACTCCTAGCCTCAAGTGACTCTCCTGCCTCAGCCTCCCAAAGTGCTAGAATTACAAGGTGTGCACCACCATGCCAGGCCTGAGGAGGAAAAATGTATAACAAAGCATTACACAAACTAGTAAAAGGTGGTTAACTACTATGCTAATAAATACAGGAATGGAAAATGCTACTACCTCTAGGGAAGAGGGAGAGTCGTCAGAAAAGGAACTCTTTTTTTTTTTTTTGAGATGGAGTTCGCTCCTGTTGCCCTGGAGTGCAGTGGTGCAATCTCGGCTCGCCACAACCTCCGCCTCCCAGGTTCAAGTGATTCTCCTGCCTCAGCCTCCCGAGTAGCTGGGATTACAGGCGTGCACCACCACATCCCGCTAATTTTGTATTTTTAGTAGAGACAAGGTTTCTCCATGTTGGTCAGGCTGGTCTCGAACTCCTGACCTCAAGTGATCCGCCTGCCTCCGCCTCCCAAAGTGCTGGGATTACAGGTGTGAGCCACCCGTGCCCGTCAGAAAAGGAACTCTTGTAAGAGGCCCCTCCCCACTCAGGCTGAGTTTCAGAGTGAGTGATGACACAGGAACTCCTGCACCGCAGGAGGGAAGGGAAAGGACATCCCAGAAGCATCCCAGATACCAGCACAAATACCACCTCCCCTGGCGCCGATCCCAGGCTCTCCCGGGAATTGTCTGAATGTGCCCTGGTCCCAGTACACAGATAATCTGCTCAAAAGCTGGTGCTGGCCTAAAAGACCCAAGTCTTCCATGTCTTTGGAGTCTATGTCCTGCCACAGAGAACAGTATCTGGCCAGGCGCAGATGCTGGAATTACAACTGTGCACTACCGTGCCCGGCCAATTTTATTGTAGAGACAGGGTCTCCCTATGTTGCCCAGGCTGGTCTTGAACTCCGGGGCTCAAGTGATCCTCCCTCCTCGGCTTGGCTTCCCAAAGTGCAGGGATTACAGGCGAGAGCCACCGCACCCAGCTTCAAAATACTCTTAAGAAAAAACTTCACCTGGCGGGGGGCAGTGGCTCACGTCTGTAATCCCAGCACTTTCAGAGGCCGAGGTGGGTGGATCACCTGAAGTCAGGAGTTCGAGACCAGCCTGGCCAACATGGTGAAACTCCATCTCTACTAAAAATACAAAAAATTAACCAGGCATGGTGGTGCGCACCTGTAATCCCAGCTACAGCTACTCAGGAGGCTGAGGCGGGAGAATTGCTTGAACCCGCGAAGTGGAGGCTGCAGTGAGCCAAGATTGCGCCACTGCATTCCAGCCTGGGCGACAGAGCGAGACTCTGTCTCAAAAAAATAAAAAATAAAATAAATAAAAATTTAAAATAAAAGTAAAAAAGTAAAAAATTAAAATGTTACCTTATCTCTTTCCTTAGTTCATCTTCGGCTGCTTGATTTTCTCCAGGGCAAATCTTTGCCCTAAACTTCCTATAATTCTGTTCACCTTCACTTTGCTGTGTTTCACGATGTAACTGCTTTATTTGTTTAGCTAAAGAATTCATAGAAAAGTCCAGGGCCGCAACATTCTTATTACTTTTTTTTTTTTTTTGAGATGGAGGCTTGCTCTGTCACCCAGGCTGAGTGCAGTGACGCGATCTCGGCTCACTGCAAGCTCCGCCTCCTGGGTTCACACCATTCTCCTGCCTCAGCCTCCTGAGTAGCTGGGACTACAGGCGCCCACCACCATGCCCCCCTAATTTTTTTGTATTTTTAGTAGAGACAGGGTTTCACCGTGTTAGCCAGGAAGGTCTCGATCTTCTGACCTCATGATCCACCCGCCTCGGCCTCCCAAAGTGCTGGGATTTACAGGCATCAGCCACCGCACCTGGCCCCTTCTTATTAATTTTAACGGCTACATCAACCTGAGAGGCTGACACGTTCTGAGTATTTACTAACTTTTGACGAATGTCAGAATTGGAAAGAATTTCTTCTTTTTTAAAACGCTTTGTGTTTGGGGATGCGAGATTAGTTGGCTGAGGCGAAACTCGAAATTTACACGCTGTGTCTTCCTGGTTTGGATGGCAGTTCGCATCTGAAAAAGAGTCGTCAGTTTCAGGCGCTTTCTCATGAGAGTCCGCGTGTTCCTGTGAGCCCCTGTCCTCTGGGGAGCTGGCCGCACACTCGCTGCTGCAGTGACTGCCCGTGTCTGGGATGCTGAACCCCTCAGAATCCACGGAAGTGCTGCCGTGCCCCGAGTCCTTCTCCACCTCCGCTCCGTCCGTAGGGTCCCTGGGTCCCTGACCGGAACTCGTTGCCTCTTTCTGAGGTCTCAGGAAGCCTCTGTCAGAGATGGCATCTGAAGTGCTAGAAGATGGCATACCCCTTTTCTGTCCTGGAGGGCTCCTTCTTGCTTCTGGAGTCTTTGGGCTGTGAGGCTTGTTCTCCGTTGTGTGATGAAGAGAAAAGGCCTCTCGCAGTCTGGATATGGACACGTCCCTTTTTTCTTCTCGAGTCCTTAATGAAGGGGAATGATCCTGCTTTTCTCCCAGGGGCTTTTCCAAATCCGCTGCATGCATTTTTACTAAGTTACCTAAGCAAACGTGAACGGAGAAGAGGGTCAGGGACTATCCTGAAATGGTGAGAGGACGTGCTAATGTGAACAGATACTTCACAAAAGAGGAGATCTGCATGCTAATTACACAAACACGGTTCAATGTTCAAAATAAAACTATAATATGGGCCGGCCAGCACTTTGGGAGGCCAAGGCAGGTGGATCACGAGGCTAGGAGTTTGAGACCAGTCTGCACAACATGGCGAAACCCTGTTTCTACTAAAAATAC